GAAAATTCAAAACAGAACGGGCTCCACTAATCAACAATGAGGAAGTAAAACGGGTCAAAGAAAAGTTTCGGCAGGCAAGATCACTGAAGACCCCAGAAGAATCTACATCCACATGTCCAAAACGACTGAAGCCATCTCTAGTAAATCCCCTCAATCTCACAAAAGCTAAGGCAAGATCACATTGTTATATTGTGTACATATGATCTCTAACCAGTGATATCTGTTTTGATAAAGGAATCATGCATTGTGGGGGAGGATGCAACCTCTGTTGAGGCTCATATCAAGGTACTACTTGAGCAATACAGAAAGTTGCATCCCGACATGAATCTGGTGAAAGACCGCATGATGAAAACCGTTGCATGGAGACGCCGAGAAATAGCAGAAGGAATGTCAACTGAAGATCTGTTGAGGAGATATCCATTCCTAAGAACATCCGCTGGGGTAAGAACAATTAAGCTGCTGCCAACTTCAGTCAGTGCTTTAAATTGCTCCCGGTCTATATATTAATACTTAACAGAAATTCTGAAAAAAGGTTCATATAGACCTCTCCTACAGTTGTAAATAATTTCCATTTGTAAGATTTTACTGCATATGTCCTGGCTGCCTTTACACCGTTCCTCCTATGCCTTTCTTTCCCCTATTTTTCTTTTTAAAATCTCAGTTGTGCGCGGAGGTTGATGCCATGCACCCCTCTCCAGTCAACATATGCCACCGCATCAGTGAGAACTTCACATCTATTCTCCCAAATATGCTGAAACTTGTCAAGGATTCGCCACTGAAAAAACTATACATGGAAGCAAGAGAGGATGCCTTGGCTGAGGATATTAAAGGTACAGATTTGAGCACATATAACTAGTTAATTTTGCTCCATCATTGTGTCAGTTGTGTGCAGTCCTGTGTACTCTTGTGCAGTCCTGTCTACAGTTCCACTGAACTGGTATTGCATTGTTAATCTGTGGCACTTAGTGGGTGTATAATGCAACATTATCTTGATGATGTTTAATTTGTTTATTTCTCACATGCATTTTAAAAGCTAATACATGTTAGTTTATTGTACTGAACCTGAAGTAACATGCGGTAGCCTGTCTTGGAATTTACAGGTTATTTGTATCAACAAACGTTCCTTGAAATGCATTAAAATTGTAAAATCTGTATGACCTAGGAATTGACTTCAGGGGTGGACTCCTCCTCTTGCCATCCATATTCAAGGAGAAGATTGAGGATTTCATTATGCTTGGACAGGTAAATACCTGGTGTCCTGCATAGCCACTAGCCATAAGTTAATGTTCTTTTAGATCACTGTGCATGCTTAATCATATTGATCTTGTTATGTATGCTAACATTCTTTTCTCTTATGCAGAAAAATCCATAACTCCATATCCAACCGAAATTTGCCCTCTCAAGACTGTGCCAGAGTGTGGTCAATGTCGAGGGAATTGAGGTCTGTTCTTGCACTTCGGTGGATGAGGCCTTCATTGCAGCCTACTGCATGTACTTTGTCTGTAACTCGAATTGTCAACCTTCTTCACTGATTATGCCTGGACTGCATCAGTGTACAAAATGCTCAAAGATGACTTTTACTCTTAGAAAACTGATTCATCATATTGGACTTGTAGATGCACACGACCCTCATTTCAACATAACCTGTGGGATAAGTAACTGCCAGTATGCTTTTTCCAAGTATCATTCTTTTAGGCGGCATGTTTATCAAAAATTCTTGAAAATTAAGTACATTCTGAACGTTGAGACTTTGTGGGTGTTGTGTGGGAAACTGTTACTGCCTTGCTCTTATGACAATCACTTCCATGCTTACCACGTCAAAGTTGACAATGACTGGATTTTACTCAGTCCAGGAAATCAGTTGGACTATCAAGCTCTCGACACATATTTAGTTGATGATAGACTGTATGTTTCCTTGAGGTATTCTGTGTAAGTATGTTCTATCTAAATGTGTGTTACTTTTTGAAGTATTCTGCCTCATGTTAATGTGACTGCAATCTTTACATATTGTAATGTTATGCATTGAGATTGATTCATTTTATATGTAGCTATATAGAATTGAATGAATTAAGATTTTAACACTATAAATGTTGCCATGTTTATCTCAAAACATACATTTCCATTGATGTTAATAAATGGTAAAGAAGCAATTATTGTGTAGACAATTCTGGTACATTTTTGTCTCCTTAAAGTCCAGAATAGCTTGTCACTGGGGGGTACCCTTTTAAAGTACAGGAAAGTACCCTTTCAATGAGGCACATTGCTGTACCTTATAGATTAAAGGTACATTTATGTCTTGCAGGGTACACAACTGTACTTGAACTGGTACAATTTGATAAGGTACATAAATGGACCAGGACTGAAAGGTACACAATTGTCTCTCAAAAGGGTACCTTTCAGTTTTCAGTTTTTGAGAGAAACTATACGGTCATTTATTGTTGCACCTTTTTTAGTTAAAACAAATTTCACGAAACTGGAAAGTCAATACCAGCTTGGCCAGAAAGTCATTGTTCAACTGCAGAGTCGGAGTGGATCCCTGCGACTCAGAACTGGAATGGAGGCCTGCTGGGCATCGGAGATGATCTACCTTAGAACCCGAGTCAGCGCTTCACTCACAGCAGAGAGGCAAATATGGGTACGGTTAACACACAGCTTACAGCAAACAGACTTCAAACACACCAAGTCAAGACCAGGCATGCTGCTCAGGTGGCGATTGGTTATGTGTTGATCGGTTCTGAACAAGAGAAAGGACAGTCTCTGACCCCTTACGTGGCGTTATTCTCGATTCAGTGGACATACGTCTCAGGAACAGGAATGTCTAACTGCAGAAGTGCACTGTGTGCTCCATGGAAGGCTAGTCATAACAAAAGAGGGTTGTCTAGCAAGCAGCAGGGTGACTTTGCCTGTTTTGTCTCCACGAAACAAAAGAGCGAATCGGTGTGTTTTCAGGCTGCAACACAGGATTTTTTTCTCAATTAGTCCATTAGTCACTCGTCTAAAACAATGTCATAAATAGTCAAAAGATTGCTCATGATGGTTTCATGAAAGCACAAACAGGTATCTTCACAATCAGTTAGACGGTTGCCACAGATGATGCATTCATCAAATCATTAAACTGCATTTTTCCTTTGCTTAATTAATAATGCATTGTGGAGGACAACTGCATCTGTAATTAATCTGATCAAACTTGCTATCCAAGGAGATATCTCAAAAGTCCCCAGTTTCAGTCTGAAAAAGTCTCAGTGTGTGCTGCTCTAGAAGCACCACTTCCACGAACGCCAAGACACACAGAGAGGGCTATTGTTCGCGATAGTGAGGTATTTTGACTGAGAGGGATGGGGGGGGTAAAAACATAAGGGGGGAAATGCTATGCTCTGCTACAGTACACGCTGGATTTGCAATAACACCTGCCTTACGTACTCTTTACAGAGCCACAGTGCCTCAAAACAAGAAGACACATTGGAAAAGCCATCATGCCCTTTAGTGAAAAGCAGACGCAATGTTCACGGAGGCATGCAGAGGATAATGAATACAAGGGGGGAGAGTGGATCATGATAATGGCTTTTTATATCCTAGAGCTCTGGTCCCTTCACGCAGGAAGAACCCAATCCCGACAACACTGAACATCACCAAAAGCTGAAATGAAGAGAAAACCTTGCAATTCCTCAGTCCTGAAAAACTATACTCTTTCATACAGAGAAAATAGAAAACTAAATATAAGCCCGTGGGGCCTCTTGTCTCTGATGGGATGGGTGTTTACTGCAGGCATGCAACTGGCTCTAATAACTAGTGTTGCACTGCTACATAAAACAAGAAGAATTTACAATACAGGCCTCAATCTTACAGACTTTGCTTTACTTCTTTTCATATCCAAGTCATAACAAAAAGGTGTGGGCAAAAGGGGATGGGTTCAAGAACCCCCGCATTATGCCACTTTCCGTGTCTTGAGTCACGCAGGCTTTGACTCAGTCTTTTCCATCCCATAATGCTCCGATTGCAAAGAGCGCCATGAATGAAAACCTTAGAACAGGCTCAAGTGTTCCAAAGCACCTCTCTAAAAACATCATCCGAGTGTGTTTTGGCCCCAACCATGTAGGGTGTTGTGCCACACCGTAAAACACGCTTAGAATAGCCTGCAGCGATTTCCTCTCGTGACGGAGGTTTTGTTATCGTCTTGCAGTTTAAGGGTGGAGGAGTGCTGGGGGGCAGCCGGCCTGGCCCGTGCGTCCGCAGGGCGCCGCTCTCGTGTGACCTGCAGCTATTTACAACCTGAGTGAGCAGGCAGAATACATCATCACTAAAAGATGGACATTTGGGGGGGAGGTATTATTATGAGTTGCCATGTTTAATTATAAAAAAGTTTTACCCCTGCTTGTGCGTATGCAAAACAAAAAATCATAGTTGCAATTGATTTATGTTGGAGAGGAGCCCCTCATTCTTGTTTTATTACTCATTGCTGCACGACTTGTTCCTCAAATTAAAAACAAGAATGAATTTGTCTTTAACATTATGCCAAAAAATAAAGGCAACAGTGCACAGGTGGTGCAGTTTGTTGGGGAAATCATTCAGTTTCAGTCACACATGTTGATGTGTTGTGATGCATGAGCCTTTCCAGCATCACTCAATATCTGTTCACCCACTAAAAAAAAGTAGCTTATTGCAACTTTACAGGCAGGACGTTTTAGCATTCTTGGCTCAAGAAAAGACTGTAAAGAAGGAAATAAAGAGCCCTGGTAGTTAACGTTTAGAGGAGTAAAATTACATGGTTTGACGCAACGTCATGAACGCACCACTGCAGAGGAATTACCTTATGTTCATCTATTCCACTCTCCGGAAATATATTTGTTTTAGGAAAGCATTTTTAGAAGGGAGGCCAAATACTTTGGAGGAGTCAACTGGGGGGCGATGCAACACCTGGCCTGATTTTACAGCTTTAAAAACGAAAAGAAGTAACGTTAAACAGTCGACGGGGACAAAGGTCACAGTTTGGTTAAATTCACCTTTGGCTGGAAAAAAAAACCCTCCAAGGTTTCTGCATCAAAGCAGGTTTATCTCACCGGCAGTCAGCAGCACCTGAGGCCACAATAAATCAGATGAGTCAACCTGTAGTTCACGGCGGCGGAGTGAAAATACAAGAACATGGAGGCTCAGCGTTTTTACGCAACTAGTGATAGAAGCTTAAACCGTTTCCAGGCCGTGGGAACATTCGTTAATACTCCCTCAAGTAATAAAGTGTCCTTTAACGCCACGATATTCAGTTGGGTCCGACTCACGTTGGCCAAAGTAAACGTTAGCAACTCGCAAAGCAAAGTTGGCTCAGAGACGAACATGGTCGCGCTCACTCACCGAGAGTCCGCTCCCAGTGATTTCCGTTAGTCCGTTGATGGTTCCCAACGATTCCACAATCGCGTTAGTCGGCGTCTGAACTTCGCTGTGTGCTACCCCCGTCCGTCCACATCCCTACTCCATGGTGCCCCGACGCGACGCGACGCGGCGGTATTGTTGGATATGGAAGTTGGAAAACTCGGGACGTGGTGCAGGAAAATCCCGCCCCGCTGCCGGTGGATTGGCCCGCGAGCGCGGATTCGTCAAACGATGGAAGTTCTGGTGCGTTCCCGTAGCGTGGTAGAAATGGGAAATGCGAAATCCTTCACTGTGGAAGAACGATGACCGACGACACAAGCAATGCGCAGTGCATGACGATTTGTTAAAAAGGCGGTTCATATTTATTTGGCTCTTTACAAATACACAGACAAACGTGATTACAATAATGACAAGGAAAAACTGCAATCGAGTAACTGAACTAATCGCGTTGAGGTAAAAACCTTTGGGAAACGTTAAATGTTTAGCCCCTGAATGCAGCACATTCCTCACGGTGTGGGAGGAGCCTGTCTGTCCAGCGTTGAAGAAGCACCGAGGACATCATGTGGTCATGTGTTTCCTTCATCCCCGTACTGTGCAAAGAGTACCAGTAGAAGTTACGATTTAAACGTTTAGTACAGAAACATTAATAGCCAAACGTATTCCCATTGGGGATTGTACTGGAATATTGTTTCTGATGCAGGCATCTAAATATCTTCAGCTTATAAAGCTTATTTGGGGTATGTTGCTAAATTATTAGTCTTAGAAGTAATTGGTATCTGGTAAATGTGGTGGAGTAAAACGTGCAATATTTCCAGTAAATGGAGTAAAACTATTACGGGACATGAAAATATAATTACTGCAGTCATGTGTTGAATACTACGCATGCAGTGCAGATGTTAATGGGCAGTCAGGGTAAACCAAGACAATCAAATACCTTCACATGCGGCTTAAGTGCAGCATGAATATACAGTATAATAATATAAAATGAGAAGGACAAGTACAATTTCATTTTCACAGGATGCCCATGAATTAATCAATAAAAGAAATGCAATCAGACATAGAAATAGGCAACTCCATCGCGAAGCAGTTGTGATGCTATTTCTCTCAGGAAGGAGAAAATGAGAGGCTGGAACGATTCTGTCCCATCATCAACCTGGTTGTACTTCAGTTTCCAGCGAATAGAATAAACCACACCGGGTCACCGATGGCCCCCCAAACTGGTGTCCCTCCCTGGAGGCCTCTGCACCCTCACTGTGCTGGGGTCACATTCCAGCATCTCCCTGATCCAATCATTATCCAGCACTCTGTCTATGAACCCCTCCAGACTGATGGGGACAGACGTAACAAGGACACAGAGGACATGTATTACTGACAAAGACGGTCCAGACAAATTAATAGCACGGCAGAAACAGACATAAAGAGTAAGTGCTTTCCCTGGGGCCCAAAAATAAAGAATGAACTAACTTATATAGTGATACAAAGAAGGCAGTATAGGCCCAAACTACAGGGCCCAAAAATAAAGAATGAACTAACTTATATAGTGATACAAAGGAGGAAGTAAAAAGCTGCCCAAAATAAGATGAATAATATTTGCAGCAATAGGCGTCCGTGTCATTAGTATGTTTCAACTTTACAGGTTTATTGATGCAACTAATAATAGATTGTACAAAAGGCTTATGTAACTAGTAACAAAGCCTCGAACCAAATAAAAAAAATTGAATCCATCCAGATTTCAACATTCCCTTCAGTCTGTAGAGGTTGCTGAGTGCAAGTCTCCATTAGCAGCCAAGGCACTTTGGACACAGGGAGAAGAGTCCTTAAGAGCTAAAGAGGTCAATGCACTGGCTCATTTTAAAGCATTAGATTAAAAAAATACAGTTTCATGCAATTTGCAAAACAATATCTTAAAGATTTCTTGTTGGAAAAACCTCAACAGTCCTCATGAGGTTGCTATAAATTGTGTCCTGAGACACTAATATGAATGACCGCATGAAAGCTACACATTCAAACCCATCAACATGTTTTGTTCATTTGGGTAGCAATACAACTATGGGTATTTTGATTAATTGATTTAGCAATAGATGACAGAGGGAAAGACATGTTGTTAAACACATTTTTATAAGATCAAATCATTTTCAACAAGCAATACTAAGGTTTTCTTAAATTATGTATATGTTTGTATTATTTGGCATGAGCAAGGCTGATGTCACAATTTGACACAGTACATTGTATTTATACATGAGGCCATCTGGCTAGCACGTGATTCTCAACAATAGGTTACTAATGTAATAATTATGTCATGATTATTGTCAATGTTCATACGTAAAAATCAAAGATGAGCAATTGTAAAAATGATCAGAAGAAAATCCTGAATGAGGTAAATGGCAGAAGGTATCTGAACAAATCAATGACAAATCCAAGTCAAAAAATGTATGCAGGACAGAATTGGGTCTGACTCTTATGAAATGTCAGTGTATAATATGAAAGCTGACAATGCGTGGAAGTACAAAGACGTGCAGGTATAAATACACAAGTCTTTATCATTACAGTTTGGGGAAAGCATGTCAAACTTTTACCTGAAGGGCGAAATACTGCTATAGTTATTTAGAACTGTATCAATCTGTGTTTACACAGCGCAGATCTGTTCTCCCTGAGTTAACGCCTCAGCTATCAGGCTCCGAGAGCAGCCAGAAATGTTTTGATGAAATGTCTGAAATGTGGAAGGAGTTTGATGCCAAACCTCCATTTCAGCGGTTCCACTTTGCAGGAAGTATTACTGTACTACTTCTAACACCATTTTGATTCATCAAAATTTTTCCATGTCCTTTGGGTGTATGTAATCAAACAGGCTCCATCCAATCAGCTCTACCTGCAGGAGGAACAAACAGCCCTAAACATGGTGCCTTCGCTGATGGAGAGAAATGTTTGTCTAAGTTTTCCCACCATGTTATAATGCGGTGCTTAATCATAAACACGAGGACACTCTTCCAGGTCTCACCTCACTGGGTTGTAAACTTTAATACATTTTCACGTCGCGTGTACGGTCCATCTTGCTCGGTCTGGTTACAAGGCAGTGTTTCTCAATAACAGTCCGTGTGACTCACGGAATTAAACAATAGTTCCTACCTGTAGTTCCTATTGTTACAACCTCCACTCTGTATTTCCATTCAACAGTGTCTCCCCTGCCTCCATTTCCAAATGAAACATTTTTTCTTCCTGTGATCCTGTGATTTTTGCTTGCATTACAAACGGTCTATGGACTTTTTCTAGGCTCTATGTGATTCTTTGTTTTAACGTGTATATAATTGTTCTCTGCTTACATTAACACAATTTTCCCATTTATTGTTTAACCATTTTTACAATTACTGAGTTTAAGAGAGACTCTGATCAGAGTCTGCAACCACACACAGACACACACAGCAGCAGCACACCTGAAGATGCACATTAGCACACACACCCATGGGTCTTGGGCAAGAGACAAAGGACAGGACGCTGTCTGTGGAGCCGGTCTGGTAAGACAAAAGGGAGTCGTTCCCAGAGAGGTGCGACCCATAGGGACGTAGGGACGGTCAACAGTCCAGTGGGTGAATATATGTAAATAGTTAGCACAGAGGGAGACGTTTAAATGAGTGGGAAATAATGTGATTTGAGCCAAATCTGTAGACCTTGTTGTAAATAATTTGTTATTTTCTCTTAAACTTAGTGATAGGCTGCAAGTTGTTGAGTGTGGATATGAGATGTACAGTGCACGGTACATCTCATACAGCATCTTAATGACGGAAGCACATTTTAGATCATAGGGCAGTACAGAATGGGAAACTTTGTTACAGACCATCATCCTGTAATGATTTTACCAACAAACCATACAAACATGTAACTATATATGATATATTGATAATCTACCATTTTCATTAGGAATACATGAATGTTCTAGGTCACTAACAAACCATGAGTTGAGTTTTGAGTTCACAGGTAGAGAACGCAGGTAAGCTGCCCTGACGACTGAGGATGCAAATGCAAGTCCAATTGTGATGGAAAGTCACAAAGACAATGGTGAACTGACTGTAATGGTGGGGGCCCTCAGTGGGCCAACAGATGGAGGAAGCAGCGAACGGATTGGTAAGATGCAGAAGTCAAAGGTTGCAGACAGCTGACCAACAGGAGGGACTTAGCAGGTCTCCCAACAACAACAAACGGGATAAGCATAACTATTTTTACAGGGGTTCTGTTGAGAGTAACATGGTCTCAGAGTCCCGGATCACAATTTGAAAACCACACACACTGTTTGAATGCAAATATTCTGTGTATCATGCTTTAATCATTTTTCTATATCACTGCATAGGGACTGTTGTTTTCTTAATTTCTGTTTTTCAATTTAAAGGAAGAGCTCGCCAGCCAGCGTCGAACTTTGAGACAATGCAAAGAAGTCTGAAGCTGACCTGATGCTGACATTTATTTTGAGACATGTGTTAAAATAACAGACCAGGGAATCCTGATCTTCCAACACCTCGGATCCCCCGATCAGTCTGATCACAGGACCTGCAAGATTCTCAGGATCAAGAAGAGAGTGGATCTCAATCACACGTCAATGACGACCACTACGCGTCGCCTGACCAAGCCTTTGATAACAAGAGGAAGTTTACACTCATGCATAATCCCACAAACACTTTAGTTTTTGCACAAATTATTACCACACAACTTTCAGATTTCAGAAAAGGGACAGAAACCCCTCATTTAAATCCATGCTAAAATGATTGAGATATACAAGCAAATACACACGGTTGATATTATTGTGAGAACAAGAGATCAAGGTTCTTGATTTATAATGTCCAAATATTTCCCTGATATAGAACTATACAGTAAATAGACATATTCACATTGAACATCTGGTCGGACGGTGAAAGAGATTCACCTTTCCGTTGAGTTGTACTTACTAAGGTAACAGTATTGTCCCGATTAAACAAAACATAACTATAGACACAGTGAACAACAGACAGGAATGCATCACCAATAATTGATAAACTACATTAACCTAAAAGCCACATCAGTAGAATGGAAGCTATGGGAATACCTGGGGGGGTCTAATGTGTTTCAAGTCACACACAGGATCTAGAAGACGCACCTCTACCCCTGCTGGAGCAGAGAGACATGACACACAAGAGGAGAGACCACCTGTCAACAACCTGAGCGGCGCCAAAGGAACCGACCAGGAGGAAGCATCAGGACGGACCACAGCAGAACCAGCACCGCAGAGCCGGACCAGAAGCAAGACAAGCATCGTTCTAGGAGAACCAGAAGCAAGACTAGGACCGATTCAGAAAGGGTCCAAGCAACCTTCCAGTCTCCCTTTTGAGGGACAGCACAGTTCCAAGACCACCTCACACTAATGGGGGACATTGACAGCCCAGCACAGACATAACCTCAGACCCATTGGGTCACATCAGAGCCATCGATTTCCAGTACAGACACTCCCAAGTTTCCAGGCCCCTCTACAAACACTGCCCCATGGACAACAACAACCATTGAGCACAAGAGATCCTGAAATGGTCGAGAAAACACCCGCACACACAAATGGAGGTGAATCACTGCTGAAAGCTCTCACTGAAGAACCAGCAGAGAACAGTGACATTGACAACCGCTACTCAGGTTTATTGGACTCATGATTTAGTAAATACAAACAATTGTTTATTTCTGTGATAACAGTCTCCACTATGGCCAGCATTCTATTCCTAGGTGGATGCTGTTGCATCCTCTGCATCAGGACTCTTATCATTAGAATCATCAGAGAAGACCAGCCCCATGATGCCATTAGGTTTATTAAATTAATGTGTCCTGTGTCAATTTACACTGTACACATGACATCCGTGATGAAATGTTAAATCCTGGGAGAAGATCTTTCAATCTCTCCGACAGATTTCTTCCTCGTTTTATTCCCAAAAAGGGTTTTCGAGGGAGTTTTTGTTCTGTGCCAGGTACAAGTTAACAAGTGGTGTCCAGAGGCACATCTTATGATTAGAATGTTTAGGATCAAGCGTATCATATTGGATCGAACATTATGCTAAACAAATAGAGACGACACATCTGACAAAACTGAGGAATTTGATGAACCGATCCCTCTGATTGGTTTTTACACCAAAATTGGTGTAAACGGATGGATTGTAGGATATTAGAAACAAATTGACGATCCGGTTCATAAAATTAATAAAAATGCATATAGTGTACACCAGAATACAGACATGATTCTGAAACTGTGTAATCAATAAAGTAATGACAATATTGTAAAACCACTGTAATTCTGCAACTGTAGTAGAATAATACCGATGCAGTTATGATTGTATTTGATGTAACGTAATCAACTGGAATGCATGCATGTAATACTTGAACAACAATCCGAGTTACAGTGAACTCACCAGAAGACTCCCAGAGGTGTGGACACTGACTTTCACACCTTTAAGCATTGTTATAAATACCTGTAGGAACCATTGTTCTCGAGTTCGCTGGTGGAGGCGACAGACGGGCTCTAGGGAGGGTCAAAGGACTGACCTGGGGCCTGTTGGTCGCTGAGACCAGCGGCTCCTCAGCTGAGATGTTCTTTTTACCGCAACGCCATCTCCTTTATTAAATACATTTGATTTAACCTTTTGATCAGCGATGACCTCTGTCCGTCCGGCGTTTCTTCATTTTTGTACACAACAGATGCCAGCTAAATGTTGACAAGTAACATTAGAAATATCCCGTTCACATGCCACAAGGACCTGTAAAGTTCGGCATAAAAAGCACCGGGGAGCCAGTTTGACACGAGTCACACACATGCACTGTTTATATGTCGGAAAGAATGGTATATCAAATAATTAAAAATGACCATAGCCTTTAAAAACTCTAACAGGCTTCGTTAACAGGTCGTACTTCCATGGATGACACGCGTGTATCAGCCGTTCATATCCGCAGGATCCTTCATGCTGTCACTGAGAACAAGTCGCGGTGCATCCGTCGCGTTACGCACAACTGACATCGGTAAACTATGAGGGGCCGTTTAGGACTTAACTACTGAGACACTCTCACACACACTACTGAGACACTAAACACTCCCACATGGAAAGAACCTATATAAACATATATGTTTTAATATATGTTTTGATATAGGTATTAGATATATGTGACATATATGAAATTGGCCGTTTTCCTATATGTTATATTATATATGTACATATAGGTGCGTGCATAAATGTACCTATATAGGTACATTTATGCACGTATATAGGTACACTCTCACACACACTACTGAGACACTCTCACACACACTACTGAGACACTCTCACACACACTACTGAGACACTAAACACTCCCACACACTACTGAGACACTCTCACGCACAATACGGAGACACTCATGCCATCTCATTAGTGTGTGTGAGTGTCTCAGTAGTTAAGTCCTAAACGGCCCCTCATAGTAAACATCGAGCTGTGGTACCGAAATGGCGCTGGGCTCGAGTTTGCTCCACTGATCTACTGACCTACTTCTGGAACAGCGCGGAGTTTACGCGCAAGCGACAAGGTGACCAGAAGTAACAATCACCAACACACCACCGCGCTTCTCTCTTTCTCCTCCTCCCCCTTGATACGTCTCAACACACCGGCCGATGTCTGTGTAACAAACTGTGCTAACATCTGAGGTGGTGGCTCTGGATTACGTGGCGGTTCGCCCCCCGATCCGTCACCGCCGCCGGCCGGCCGCCGTGTTCCTGGCCGACATGGCCATAGAGATCTGGTGGGGGAAATGCTGTAAACATGGACAGTCTCCTCCTATCGCTGCATCGATACGCCGGAGACACTCGCTTCAGCTTCTCGGGATCTCTGTTCTTCTTCTTTACATTCTGTGGCGGTTGGTAAACAACTTGCTGGTGCGTTACCGCCATCAGCTGGCATGAAGTATGGCCAGGGGTCTAAAAATGCACTCATTCTAATTATAAAGAGGAAACGTGTTTCTCACGTATCCATTAAAAAATATATTATAATAATAATAAACCCTCATTTTTAATCCAGTGATAGTTCAAACCCACACAACCCATCACCCAGTAGTCTGAAGCCACGACTGAGGAATTGTATGTCCTCCATTTGACAGAGGGCCCCAGGATGCTCCCACGGGAGGCTGAAGGAGAATGTCCAATCCCAAATAAGGATGCTTGAGCCAAAACTGCTTAACTGCCAGACAGAGCTCTATGAATCCAAGGAAGAGTGGAAACATGTGACTTCACATCTGAAATCAGAGTTAGGGGAGAGTGATCGAGGGAACCAAAATCAATCATGTTTGCTTGCAGTTAAGCAAACGGAGGTTGGAAAGCGTCCGGCTCGTAATGAAGCTGGAGGAGGAGTGTGAAAATAAGACCGGTGAGGTAATCCGGCTGGAATGTCTGAGGGATTATAAACCAAACCCACGTTATTTGTGACTGAACTCAGACAAGCTTTACAGCAGCAGTCGTTTTCAACCAATCACACAAGATCCACACTCGATTGAGTCAACGTTTCTAGTTTTAACTGTGGTCCTCGCTGTTAATTTATCATACTATCATACTGTCCACAGAGCCATTGTATCACTGCGGAAAACAGCCGTAGTGTCTTAAACTAATGTATTCCCAACAAAAAATTACCCCTTCAATCTCCTTCGATGAATATAGTTGTTTTTAAAGTGTTTTAACTTAACGAGAGTCCCGTTCTTCATGAATAAATGGTGCAGATTAGATGGCTTTTTGGACAATAATTTGGATTTGTTGGTTTTTCAAAACTAGCTTGAATAGATCTTGAAAAGTTGTTGGAGCAGCAGGTCCTTAAATTGAGAGACGCGTTGGCTTATTGATAGTTATATCTATAATATGGTCAGTTCAACGTTTAACACACTTTGCAGTGCTGGTAGTTCTGAGACAGCCAAAGACAGTCTATCATCTGATTAATAACAGATGTGACAGAGCAGCAGCTGTATTTGCCTTTAGCCCTTCGCTTCTGCCTCAAACTTCCAAAGTCTAATCTCTTTTCAAGTGAGTTTTAGTTCCTCAGAAGATGACTTGAGTTTCATACTATGCATCGATCGATCGTATGTGAATCACCTGATGATCACATGTTACTTCCTCCTTCGAACACTAGGTGGTAGACACCACTCACTCAGAAAGATGATGTTCAAAACGCCCCGGGCCTCGTGTTCAGATGTTACATTAGTTACATTACATAAGTTTATTTTACATCTAAAAGTATTAGATTACTTTACACACCTCAAAAAGTATTTGTTGAGTCTACACAAGTACATTATTTTAATGTTGTATCCTTGTAGTGGTGCATCATCCTGAACAGACTTCCTTATTTAATAAATGGTTAAATAGATGAACACATTTCATATATATGTTATGCCGTAAGGTACTTACATAAAAAAATGCAGTTCCATACATGTTTACTGTAATGGAGCTGTGATACTTCAGCAACAAATTACCTTATTTATTGAAGAGTCCACTGGGGATGGAGCTCACAGCGGTTGCTCTGCAGGAGCCCATCGCTTCAGAGACAGTAAGGGGCCGCAGCCCTTATCATCCGTTCTGCTGTTTAAACTTTAAAATCCCTCTCAAGTGCTGCATATTTCATTATCGGGAATAAAGGAAACTCACTGTGAAAAAATGAGGGGTTTCCCCCTGCTGGAAAAACAAGCAGTGTCAAATTGCAAGCGAGGGTGTTGTTTGTGAGTCCATGAATAATACAGCTGTACGGCAGCAGTTCTGCCATAACAACCTGAGAAAATGAGCACTCGAGGAAAAAGGAGTCTCAACCTGGAACTCAATGCTTTGTTTTATATTTCACTTGCTCCCATTTCACACCACATCAGTCTATCTTCTCCTGTCTCTCCTCATTGCCACTTGCCAAGCTCATGCATATTTAAGGGTTCTGATGAACCCTACACGCTGACGGGGTGGAGCCGGGTGGAGAACAGGTCTATCCTTCCCCTGAGGGACCTGTGGCACCACTGAATGGTGGAGCCAAACCCCCCCCCCCCCCCCCCCCCCCCCTTCACCCCCAGTGCCAAAGAGTCAGGATGATGAACAGCTTCTAGTGGATTTCCTTTTGCCCGAGCAGAGTCCGTTAGTGAGGTTGGAGAGCAGCCAAAGACACGGGGAAACATGCCCTTTGGTGGGTTGGCAGGTTTGAAGGAGAAGGTGCTTAAACCTGGGAAGGAGGAAGTAAAAAACACAGTGGGAGACTCTTTGGGAAAACTGCAAAGGTGAGAGGCTTTGTATGTGGAGGTGGAAATGAGGCATAATGTGTGTGTGTGTGTGTGTACGGTGTTGGAGGTTTTGTTGGATCGCATGGAATGAGCATGTCACCTTTGTTGTTTTTATGGTGCATTTTACTCTGTAACTAAGAGGGAAACATCTGAATTGAACACACCATGTTCTCAGAGATCCGGACGATAAATAAATATTTGATTCTTCTTCTTGCCGCCAGGCAGGGCAATGATGTAATCACCGATCTTATTTTAGGACCGTAATATATATTTCATATCTGATACATCTCTAACAGTGATATGCGTATTAACTATTCTCTCATGACGTGACAAATGGTCCGCTATTATCTGAACGTTTAACACTAAATTTCAAGACAAAAATATGTTTTCCATAGCAGATGCATTATTTTGTAACATGTACTATATTAGGAAACACTTGACTCGAAAAAGGGAAAATTGATATGAAAAGCGGATCCCAGCTTAATTCTGTGTCTTCCTGGAAGAGAGTCGATGGGATTGGGGAGACAGCGATACAGAGATGGACTCTGGGTTGTAAAACTGGTGTGGAGACCAATGCACCTGAAGGCAACCTGACCACAGCACTGCTGTGACCTTTTAGAGCAGAGAGACTTGTGTTACTGTGTTCTTTCTGCTGACTCCCTTTTTATAAACTTAGTTGGAGGTAGAAGGTTTGCAAAATATTAGAAGTTCTGTTTAACTTTGCATGACTTGCTATTTTAATCTTCCAAAACCACAGATTCTAGTAAAATTCTAGTGAGCCTGCATTTTTCTATATTGCAGTTTGAAGAATAAAGAAGATTAACAAATAAGTATAGTAGAAAAATGTTGTTATTTTAAGCTGAACAGATAAGTTAGTACCGCTGATCCGTTCACATGCACTCACTGTGATTTATTTTTCCGCTTTTTGCGTAACAGGAAAATGGACGGTAGCAATGCAGAGGAAACAGACCACATTGAGCTGACAGAGGACTGGCGTCCGGTGGCGTCAGCTCCTCGCGCCGCGCCAATGCTGGACTGCAGCTGTGGCGGTCTGCCCAAGCGCTACATAATCGCCATCCTCAGCGGCCTGGGCTTCTGCATCTCCTTTGGTATCCGTTGCAACCTCGGTGTGGCCATTGTGGAGATGGTGAACAACAACACCGTCTACATCAATGGGACCCCTGTGCTTCAGGTAGCTGTATTGAAACAGACAGGACCCCTGGAATATTGACGTTGCAGGAATCTGTATATTATGTATATCTATGTTCTTTTGTATCCTTACAGACAAAAACTAGTGTATTCACTTCTATCAACTCTTTATACAGATATACATATATATATATCTGTGGTGCGGCCAGGTGGAGCATATTGAATTAATGCAGTTTGGTGGTAAATGTTTCTCTCTCTCTCTCTCTTTCTCTCTCCAGAGAGCTCAGTTCAACTGGGACCCAGAGACAGTGGGGCTCATCCACGGCTCCTTCTTCTGGGGTTACATTGTCACTCAAATCCCTGGTGGTTTCATCTCCAACAAGCTGTTTGCCAACAGGTGACCTGCACGCAGTCTCCGTTTAAAGTTATTGAATATCTTTTGGATAGAAAAGCAATTTAATGGTGATGTTTTGAGAGAGACACTTTCAACTTTCAATTTTATAAACTCCAAAAGGATAAATCAGCTGAGGATGTGTTGCTCGAGACAACAGAGGATGTGACCCGTGTGCATTTGTTGGATGATATTTTTTGTCTCATGATTTCTTTTGCTTAAGTTGGGGTTGGGTTCATAATCACGTGCGTTAGGAAAGGATCCCGAGAAAGAAAAGGAAAAAACGATGGATAAATAAATGTTTGAGGTGAGCGTGTGCGGTTAAGGGGTTAAAGTTGTACGCCGTGGTGAGCTGCACTGATGGAGCAGATAGCACTCCCGTAATAAAAGCTTCACAGGAAAAGAGGACACGCCACTGACAGAGTCAATAATGAAAGATCGTGCCTCTGATTTCTTTCTAAAACACCAGCCACTGGAATATTACAAGTGTCACTTACACACTGTTTTGGAAAAAGGAGGAGGAAGGTGGGGGAGGAGGAGGTGAAGGAGAAAATAGATGGGACATGAGCTGTAGGGTGGGGATGAAGGAGAAACTTGCGGCATGAATGGGACGCCTTTATCTCAGTGCATGAAAGGCAGAGGCGTGAGATCTGTCTCCTTATAAGGCTGACTGAGACGCTTTGACCGTCAGATTTTTGCAGATATCCTGCCTGAAAATATTAGACATCAACATCAACAGCAGCTTCCACACTCTGGGTAGGACGTTTTTGTGGTTTGTCTTCACCTGTTACAGACAGACATTAGGAATATTGCAAATATTAGTAGTCTTCATGTAAAATCCTTTTGCAGTTTGGTACTAAATATGGGGTAAGACAGGAGTTTAGGACTGTTAACTCCACCCCCCCTCTCCACACACACACACATAATACAACAAAACTCACTATTTTTACAGGGTTTTTGGGGCTGCCATTTTCCTGACGTCAGTGCTAAACATGTTCATCCCATCAGCAGCACGGGTGCACTACGGTTGCGTCATGTTTGTGCGCATCCTGCAGGGCTTGGTGGAGGTAAGAGAAAACACTGTGGCGCTTTAATGATCCACATGAATCAATGCATCTTGGGAAAATAAGCGTATTGGATTTGTTGTAGAGAGTTTGATGAGAACATCTATATGAAACATCTCGTCTGACTCTCAGCAAGAAAGCAAAAAATGCAAAAAAGCAAAAAAAATTCCCAAAATGTTACACCATTATTTTAAAGCTATTCCTCTTTAACAGATGAATCCCAGGTTTCCTCTTTGACCAATATCTGACCTTCTTCTTCTTCTTCCTCTTCCACACCATGTGCCTGCTAGGGTGTCACCTACCCGGCATGCCATGGGATGTGGTCCAAATGGGCGCCACCTCTGGAGCGGAGCCGACTGGCCACAACTTCCTTCTGTGGTGAGCGATGCGTCTCACTCTTAAAATACTGACCTCAACACAGCACTTTCTCATTGATCCAAACCAGTTCACACAACCGGGTGGTGGAGTTGGTCGGTAAATGGACACGACAAAGGTCAATTTGTGTTGCAGATGTAGACCACTGCTGTCTGTCCCAAATTGAAATAACCATATTGCATTTTAAACTGGTACCATGACAACCCGCACATCAAAACCCTCTTGACATTGTCTGTAAATGAACACGGCTCACCTGCGTGCTCACAAGGAGCTTCTCCCTCCATTCACCTAGATGAAGCCTCACATTGCTTTCTGTCCAAAAGCACTCTCATCCTCCCAGCTCTATTCAGAACAACAGTGGTCATGAATCCGTCTGATAATGGAAAAAACACATTAAAACACGCTCTCTGTCTGCAATGACTTGGCAATCATTCAATGAAACTAATGTGTTTCTTTGATGTGTTTGTTTTCTTTCAGACACATTTTCGGTATATGGTTTTGTTTTTTGTCTAAAATTGAAGGCTGTTCTGTAAACACAGAAAGTGATGCATTTTTTTGCAAAATATAAAAACACCTCTTTTTTAGAGGGGCTATATATGATATGGTTTTAGTTATTTATTACTGATTCCCAATGTTACAGCCGGTGTAATCATACCGTGACACTGAAATGTGACACCAATTGTTCCCAGGATCCTATGCAGGAGCAGTGATCGCCATGCCTCTAGCCGGGGTGCTCGTTCAGTACGTCGGATGGCCTTCAGTCTTCTATATCTATGGTAAAACAAACACTTTAGTCACTCTATCTCATTAAAACAATATGCAAATGATTAATACACAAAATGTGTTCATGTAACGATATAGAACAAGACAAATATATGGCAGAAAGTGTGATGGGAAGATCAATCCCATTTGCCCGTTTCAAACATTTATATTAATTATCAAATGTATATATAACTTGTTAATTTGTACGCTTTAAAATAATTGATTAAATTTGGGACAGAACCAGGCTAGCTTTCGAGTTTAGCTGAGCTAACTGTGGCTCCTTATCATACTTGGCACATGCATTGATCTCTTCGTATATACTGTATATATTTAGGATGTTCACGAGGCGCCATTACAAACACTAGATGTCACATCAGTGATATGCAAAGTGTGTAATCCTTCAAGGCTCTACTGTTCTGGCAGCTGTACTTTGCATGCGTTGCACAATAAGCGTTATCTGAATTGTTTTAGTGTTTGATTAAAATGATTAACATTGACGTAAAATCCATGCTTTGCCAAATGTGTTTTAATAAAATTCTGCTGTGATACAATCTCATGATTTATAGATGTAAATTAGCATTTTTCGGTCTGGGCTCTGTGACTCACCTTGTTCAATTAATTTTAATAATGAAAAAAATCTTGTGGTTCAGAGTAGTTAGGGCCTGTTTTAATTAGTACATTTTGCTCCCTAAAAAGAAAAGTACAATATTAACACCTTTAAGTATATATGTATGACCCAATGCCTGAATGCTTGTTGTTAATTCATGAAAAGGTGTTTTTGGGATCATATGGTATGTCGTGTGGCTGCTGCTGGCATATGGAAGTCCCGCTGAACATCCGACCATCATGGAGGAGGAGAGGCTCTACATCGAGACCACCATCGGGGAAACAATGCGCCAACTGAGTGTGACTGAGGTGCGTCTGCCCAACATGCTGCCAGATGTTGTCCTGCATTCTGTCAAGAATACTGTGAAAGGACATTGACTTACACTGATTTCTTGGACACTAACCCTCACACCAATCAACACTTGCCTAAGCTCGACCTTCACAAAAACCTGACCCAAGTCACCCTAAAATGTGATGGTTTATATTGACCCCAAAAGGAAGGCGAGTCCCCGCAATGCTTCTGTCTCCCAATCCCAGAAATTCAAGACACCGTGGCGTTGTTTCTTCACCTCCATGCCCGTCTACGCCATCATCGTGGCCAACTTCTGCCGCAGCTGGACCTTCTACCTGCTCCTCATCAGCCAGCCGGCGTATTTTGAGGAAGTCTTTGGCTTTCCCATCAGCAAGGTGGGCCTGGCAGCTTCACTGCAGCTATCCAACGGGCAAATGACAACCCCCGAGAAAAAGATAGTTAAACCATAGCACTGCTTCACACGACGGCTTCCTGAACGCATCATTTGCCCACAGGTGGGGCTCCTGTCCGCGGTTCCCCACATGGTGATGACCATAGTGGTTCCTATTGGAGGACAGCTGGCTGACTACTTACGCAGTAACAAAATCATGTCCACCACGAATGTGAGGAAAATCATGAACTGTGGAGGTACGTCGCAGTATATGCCTCGTTTTTCATCCTTGTATTGAAATTAAGATAATCTAACGGTTCTGAAGCATCCTGAAGTTAGCTATAGTTAGCTAATTATTTTTCTGACATTCTCTGGTCCTTTATTTTGACAGGATTTGGTATGGAGGCCACTCTGCTTTTGGTGGTGGGGTTTTCTCACACTCGGGGGGTTGCCATCTCTTTCCTAGTTTTGGCTGTGGGGTTCAGTGGATTTGCCATCTCAGGTATTAACACATTTGCACCAAAGAGACGTTTCCATGATAAATAATGCTTTTTGTTTGGCTATTACTGACCCTAAAACACAAGGGTTTCGGTAGAAGCTCTCAGGATGTTGCTTTTTGTTTTTTTTTCCATTTTTCTTTGTGTCCTCTTTCTTTATATTATGGATTTTTCTAAAAAGGGTTGTGATGGCCTTTACGCATACTGATGGCCTTTACGCATGCTAGAATGTATATTGGATTCACTGTCTTCTGAATCAATTGTTCTCGTGTGATCTTTGTTTTCAGGTTTTAATGTCAATCATTTGGATATTGCTCCTCGCTATGCCAGCATCCTGATGGGCATTTCTAACGGGGTGGGAACGTTATCAGGGATGGTGTGTCCTCTGATTGTTGGAGCCTTGACCAAAAATAAGGTATGACCAAGTTGATTTGTAACAGTAACTGTTTTTCACATGTAACCGAAACAAAGTAAAAGAAGCAGCTGGAGCCTCAAGATCAGACAATCCCACGGTAAACTACACAAACAGGTAAACATGGGTTCCGCAGAGAGAGTAAAAATAATAGAGAGAATAATACAGATGTTGACTCTGGGTGGACAGAAAATCTGTTTAGGGACAGTGTATTTGATACACACCAGTCTGTGTCAAACAAACTGTGTCAATGCCAACAAAATGGTATGATCGGCCTGTCGTAAAAAGCTTACAGCGCAGATAGCAGCGCAGCACCAGGGCAAAACAGAAGTCACTATGGCAACCCTAAACAACAAAGATTAACATATTACAAATAGTACAAAGCTCACGGAATCACTCTGCTTTATAGTTAAATAGTTTCCCTCAAAAAGACTCGATCTGCCTCTGTAATCACAGTGCCACCTGGAACCAGCCGTCCGCAGGACACCTGAGGCAGCTGCACCAGGTTGCATGAAATGCCTGTAATTAAGAGGCAAAGCTGAACAGTAGACGTTGTCATCACGGTTAAACCGTCAGCTATAAAACACCTTCTGGGAAAGCGAAAGTCTGGAAAGAAAGAGAGTCAGAGGCTGCAGTGGTACATATATGAGCTCCTAATGAAACAATCATGTGCAGGTGTTTCCACGAGGAGGAACCCGAGAAGGGACAACTAGTGACATTACTAGGCCAATGGCCTAGCTAGCACACATATATATGTTCATATATGTACAGGCGTACATTATTGTTATTATTTATTCAGCAAAATAAAAAACACTGAGGCTTCCCCCCCGCCATGTATAAAACACATCAGGTTTGCTTCTTACTTAAGCACAATATCGCTATATGTAACCAATAATGGCTGTTGTTAATCATTTATAACTCTGTAAAATGTATTATTTTCCAGTGCAGCGCCATGAGAACGGCAGTGAGTTTACTACCTTAGACAGGAAATTCAAACACTCTGTTTGCCTCTCCACAGACTCGCCTGGAGTGGCAGCATGTCTTCATTATTGCGTCCATGGTGCATTACTCTGGGGTCATTTTCTACGCTATCTTTGCTTCTGGAGAGCAGCAGGAGTGGGCCGACCCCGAGAGCACCAGCGAGGATAAATGTGGCATTATTGATCAGGATGAGCTGGCTGAAGAATCAGAGCTCAACATGGACAACGCAGTGGCTCCCAAAAAGAGCTACGGAACCACAAACAATTCCTCTGGAGGAAAACAGGGCTGGAAAAAGAGGAGAGGGGTGACAGTGCAAGAGGAGGAGGATCATTGTGGGAACGGCGAGTACCAGGACCGTTACCAGTGAGACGCACTAGGGGGCAAAGGACTTCCAAAACCCTCGAGTCTGGTTGCAGCTGAAAGTTTGATTACAAACCTGTGGAAATATTTTAAAAAAGCAATGGAAAAGTAACAAGGAGCAGCATCATCATATGCACCTCAAGCCATTTTTCCTTTTTGGTCACACACTCCAGTGATGTCCAGTAATGTCAAAAATCCTGAGGGAAAAATGCTCAAATTACTTAAATAGTCTTCATTGGAAACGATTGGAGCAAAGTCAGTTAGTACTCTTCCACACAAACCTTTATGAACCGTGTTGTGTTAAAAAGAGCTTCAGAGACACACGTAGAGTTCTGCGTTGATCGTACTCCGTCTGTGTGGGCAAACTGAGCGTTGTGTGGCTTACTTTGGACCAACCGTTTTTTGAAATGTTTCGTGTCAGCTATGCAACGTGAAAAATGCTTTTGGAATGCAACGATGGGTTTGACAGCAGTGTTAATGTTACCAGCCTTATTTTATTTAAGTTTGCTTGTATGTATTTGCTCTTGCTGAATGATTGCACTTTGAACCGCTTAGCCCGCTCTGTCTGAGCAGGTCCTAGTTCACCATCTGTTCTCAAGCATTACATCACCTTCATCATCCATCCTGCTCCGAGCTCATGATGGGAGGTGATGGATGGTGATGACGCATTTAGTGTAACGATATATATATTCTCCTGGTGTTTGTCTTTTTGGAATCTGTCAGTGTTTGATACATGGCGACCCAGTTTGTTTCTAAAAATAATGTACTGTAATGTTTAATCATAAAAGAGTATGGGACATTTACACTGTTTATCTGTTTATCATTACTGTTAAAGATGAGTCAATCAATTTTGTACTGTAGATTAGTATGTAGTATGTTCTTATTTACTTGTAGATGTAATATATTTCTATTCTGTATTAAGATCTTAATACAGACACATGAAATCCTGAGCATTTATTACCTTGTATGACATTATCGAACATTTATGCTACATTGTGTATTCAAACTATTTATAAAAACAATTAGAAAGCTGCAGTCAGTAGAGTAATGATCTCCACCAGGTGTGTATGCAATGACCACAGCAGCATTGTGTGTTAGAATGAATGCAACCAGTGCTGTAAAGCGGCAAACACACTAAATTAAAATTACATTTAAAAAAAAAAAAACAAGCAGCGATTTAAGGGTTTGCCAGCAATCAGCTCGAAGTCATTGCATAACACACGTAATACAATCGTGCCAAAACATAAAGATAAACCCATGAGCTGTTAGCGGTGAGCCAAACGCACTCCCCAAAACAATAACAGTGTGCAAACCCCCCCCCCAGACCCCCACCGGGGCACGGAGCAGCAGCTGCAGAGCAGTGAGTGAGGTGTTGGCAGACTGTCACTGTCATGAACCTGGTAGTGAAAGAGGGTTTGAGAAAGTGTGGGTCAACACGACCACAGGGGCTCGTCGAGTATGCATGCTATGAAATGCCTTCAAATACGCTGTGTGCGTTGTTGGCTCTGGAGAGTCATTAATGGACTCACACAGTCAGAGTGACGGACACTAATACGCATATTAACGATTTGAGCATCATTTCTCTACCCTGGCTGTAGAAATTACATTATTTTGTAACAGGTAGTGTTTTGCCAAGTCTGTCCGTTCCTTTATTTTGGTACCACGCTAAGATTTAGTCGATTATTACCCAAATGCTGAGGCTGATGGGAATGTTGTTACAATACAGTTTTCTGGTATTCAGTCATAAAGAAGATTCATACTAGGTGATGAAAACGAGACAAAAATGTATTAAATTCATCCTGACCAACATTATTATCTGGACCAAATTTTATTTTAGATGAATTTATCAAGAGCTTTCACCCAAACCTAGAAATGCCAACCAGCTTGCCAACAAAGTCCAAAGGCCTCCTCCTCCGTACATTTTTAAGGCAAGCCGAACACTTAATGTGCCTCCTTCTCTATGTGAGGGTGGGACCTTAGGACCTGGGAGCCTCAGCATAGAGCGGGAGGCTTAAACTCAAGGAGAGCCTCTCCATATAAAGGAGATCCCGTGAGAGTTGAGCAACTCACGTTTGTTCTCGTTGTCCGGCATGTGCTGAAGTCTGGGTGCTTTGTTTGTTGCTCGCCAGTACCGTGCGGGTGAGCAAACCGTACTAAGGAGGTAGGTTGTGCAATTTTAATCTACATCTTGTAGGCCATGGGGAAATTAATATAATGTTCTTTTCTATGGTAGAAGGTTAGACCTGAACCAGACCTGGTGAGCCCAGGGTCCTACCTGCTGGTGCACAGGTGCATTGGGCCAAGGAGGCTGAACTGGTGACACGTAGTGGTCAGCAGGACAGCCACTGCTCTTTTTCTCAGACCATAGTTTTAGTTTAGATTGTGCTCAAGTGCCTCCATCTTGCTCCCTCTATTTATAGAGATAACACACTGATATTGTGCCCTTTTGATGACCGTTGCTTCCCCACTTCTATTGTGTTGTGTCTTTTAACCAGGATCAGTAATCGTATTTGAGTGTGTTGGTTTGTAGTGTTGCTTATTTTAGCCTTTCTTAACAGTGTGCAGTGTTTTTATTGTTGGAAGTGTCATTGTGCCCCCGGTCAATCACTACTGGTATAAATTTTTGGGATGTAGTTTTATAAAGTTATTGTTTAAATAAAAGTGATATTGCATTGTACACGCAGAAGCCTCTGTCTGTCTATGATCTACCTCGAATGGGGTTTTGGCCAATAAGATAATTGAATTCAGGGTCTCTCCCTTCCAAAGAGAGTGGCGTTGTCACGTCTGGATACTATTCCCAAAGTATTTTAAGTGTCCATTAGGTCACATCTGTATTACTGCTTTGCTTCCATTGCTCTTGTTTTACGTTCATAAACATAAAGCCTTCATAAAGACCCAATGTGCACCGCAGATTATTGAGATCTTCTTAAACTACTTGATAGAATAGACTGTGCTTATATTACACATTTTAAATGTTCCTCCGGCTGCTCTGTTTCCCATCACGCTGTGGTAAACATCCTCCGTCTTATCTGTCTTTATCCGCCTACTTCATTTTCACCACGGAAGATAATTACTGGACAGGATATTTCTCTTCAGTGTCAGCCCGGCCTCTGCAAAGCCAGTGTGAGGGATGACAGTTTGACGGCGTCCTCACGTCGTGAAATACACACGTGTTTATGCAAATGTTGCACAATTAAAGTCGCTGCTTTATTTGCGTTTGTTGATGGAAAACTGTCATGGTTACAGACTATGTTCTTGCACAACATGAAGACAATTGTGTCTCTTTTGCAGATTGGGTTTGTTTCTGTTATTCCTGGAATGAGTAACAAGACACTGAAGCGGCAGCTAACTGACATTTAACTTTTTTGATCCTCATTAACCACAGAGAGGTATTTCGCATAGGCGTTAATCAACCTCGTCAATACTTGTGAGCGCCTTGACTGTTGTACATGTAACTTTCTAATGTAATCAGCGGTGTTGTGATCCGCCCCCCCACATGCTCTCAAACACAGACCCGATAGTCCACAAACTGTCACGGTTTGGGTCAATGTCTGGTTTTATTTTGTAGTTTCTTGCCTCTGTTCTCCCTGGGTCATGTCACTTACTGCCTTGTCCTGTCCTCCTCTGTGATTGTCTGTCATGTCATGATTGTTTCCACCTGTGTCCAATCACCTGCACCTCCCTAGTGTATTTAAGCCGTGTGTGTCTGTTGTCACTTGTCGTGTCATTGTCTTTTGTCCTGGATGTTCCTGCCTGCCTTTTTGCCCCCCCGGTTCGTGTGTCTTTTTGCCCGTTGGCCTTTTACTTTGTTGGAGTTTTGACTATTAAAGTCTCTTTGTTTTCGAACTCTGCGTTTGAGTCCTGCCTTTTTCCATACGCAACATCCCTGACACAAACAGCCGGCAGCAACGGCAAAGGTTCTGTTGATTTCAGAGGGACCGTCTGTTGACTCAGAAGGGCCTCTTCGGGTGAAGCAACAGAACCGTCAATGATTGAACAATTAGGTTTTCGAGGGGAAAATTAAGCAAAAATAAAAGACAAATGATTTCCAGTTTGTGCGTCCATCTTAGATAGAATCAAAGGGCAGGTGTGCTGTGGCAGGTAACTGCCAATGTAAACAAATCTGGTGTAGACTGACAAGAAGAATGACTGATTGGTTCAAGGTCGAGTGGCAACGATTGCCGTGGTGTACTTTCAGCGGTTTTCTACGGAAAACATTCACGTAAATAATTTGATTCCGTTGTTGAATAGCTCTCTCAATGTACTGAAATATAAATTTCATAGGAGAAAGGACAACAAAGCTTGATAGATGAAGGTGAATAATATAAATTCTGTTATGCAACCAAAACAGAAAAAATAAACATAGATATGTTAATGAATTAATCAATAAAAGTGAAGGGATTTGACTTATGGACATCATTTACATTATATTACATTACATACAATATGCACATATACAGTGTGTATAATCTACATTTGGAATTTATTTACAATCCATGACGATGATTTACGGTGTTAAACAGAAGAGAAGCCGCGCCATGACGCTCTGTTTGTATTCAAAGATAAACAATATAAACTTCTGGACTGATAGCAGCGCTTCTTCTCGGCTCGGCCCACAGACACCACTTGTTCCTTAATATCGGTTGTGTGTGTGTGTGCGTGTGTTTGTGTGTGTGTGTGTGTTTGTTTGGTGGGGGGTGGGTAGTTTATTCGGAGGGGGATGACATGGACAGGAATGGACAGTTTAATTAATAACCACTATCCATTTCTCCCTGACCTCAACTGGTCAAACATGCTCTCAGTGTCCAGGCACAAACAGCTAAATGTTCATTGTCAAATATTGGTTGAGCTGAAGCTCACTGAGTGGATGTCAGAAAAAAGGCTGGAAAAGAGGAAAGCTACCAACCGGGACTTTAACATCAACTGACGCATAAGGTAAAAAAAAAACGTTGACATTTAGTCTGAACATATATTTAGCAAGTGACTCCCCATCAGCTCACTGTGTGCCGCTGTGTGTGAGGTATGTTTGGCTGTTGTGTGGGTTGTTAAAGTGGACTTGGGGGTTCTGAATCCTTGTGCCTCGCTCTTGGACCTCAGGGGAAATTACACAGAGTTAATAGAAAAACGCAGGCGGATGAAGACTATGAAGGCAATGTTTCACGTGTGTGAGGACTTGACACCAGAAAGAAAAAAAGTTTAAATACATTTTATATTTACGAGACACTTGCAGGCGGTTATACCATTTCATTAAGTGTCTAGAGGCTTACATACATTATGTTCAGTGAGGTAACATGAACAAAGACAACATTAATCTTGTGACACACTCACCGTCAACAACGAACCTGTGCTTATATATGTGATCAATCACATGGGTGGTTGTGGTTTCATGTATTCAGGAAATCCCAAATAACACCATTGTTGTGATTATTACAGGAGTAAACAGAGGTTCACTACGAGCACGTTACAGTCCACCCTGCATTTTCTGCCTTTGTGCCCAACAACCCTCCTGAATGAATGAGTGGGTGGGCACTGACATCAACGTGGTGGGACCGCTGCAAATCCCACCCGGCGATGACTCCATCTCAGAGAGCGCCCACTTGTTTGGTAAGTCAACTTGGCAAGAGCCAATTAAAAGAAAAAGACAGCGTGGAGCCATGCAGTGCTGTGATTTAAATGCCCTCAGTCACTACGCTTTTTTATGGCGAGCATACAAATAAAATGCATTCGTGTGCATGTGTGCGGGGATCATTATTTGCTCATAAAAGGTAGTAAAAAATTGGGTCAGAAGAAATTAAAATCTATTGCCGTTGTCTCGTTGCCATAGACATTTACAAAAGGGAATTTTAAGCACTGCTGTAAACACACAAGCTGTGAAGACATGTTACTCATCAACTGTGATTTGCCTGATGACTGTAATGAGATAATTAAATGAAAAATATACCCAAACGGTTACCAAAAAAGGCTCTAACATAGAGTTGGAGATAGGATTAAAAAAGGTATGGTACGAGGCTGGTTTAGTGATACAACAACCAGTTGACTTCACAAGCACACCTTTAACTATTCTGAGGGACTTTACCACATTTACCCCACGTGCTGCACTGGACAGGGAATGAAAAGCAAGTGTCTAAGCAAATAGAAAAGTAGAAAAACAAAATCAACAAATTTTTGACAAATGCAAACTAAACTGAAACAAAAGGAGAATCAGAACTCAACAATTCCAGGATCATTACATATTCTAAATATATTGGCAGTATCCTATACAGTATACTGTAATAAATTGTGTTAAAAAGGAAGCCCTTTTTTTTCTTTCCAAATCAGTCCCCCTGAATGAGTTTGGTGGATGGTGGTGCAGGGCGACAGTGTAAAGTTCTAAAATGAACAGCGCACAACAACTGTAACCATTGATATTTTATATTTTATGCAGATATATGGGCAGAAACAAATTACCTGACACCTGCTGCATGTATGGATGTTTCTTATAGTTGCATGAACCATCTCACCAGACAGTGGCGGTCGGCTCATTGTCCATATCTGGAAATGGCTCAACACATCAGGCTGCTACTTGTGTATGTAAAGAAACGCAAGCCTCTGGTTAATTAGTAGCCGTGGCAACCTTTGCTCCCCGTGGGGATTCTCAAGCAGTGGCCAAGGTGTTCGTCACCTGAGCTGCTGTTCTCACATCTTTAAAGGACGACAAAAGAAATACATGGATGATGGTCAGTGAGTTAGAGGCAAAGGAAGGACCAAATCTACAAAACCCAGCTGGACTGTTGGGACCAGAGTGTAAAGTCTGAGTAGCTTGTGTGTTTGCGCGCACGGAGATGGCCATGGTCCAGATCAAGTCTTCAAGAAGTTAGCGTTCGTGTTGGTGTGTCGCTTTGCTTTCGTGAAAGATTTGACGGATTAACTTTCAAAGTAGTGATGATTCATTACTGTATTTTACTGAATCTATTTCAGTGCCAACTTGTTGGGAGTGGAAGTTACATGTTATTCTAAAAGACACAGTGTGCTCTTTGAAAGCGAGTTGTTAATCATTTATGGGTTTATAATTTCTACTACCGCTCAATGCACTGCCTTTTTCAACAAGCTTCTGCAGGTAAGAACCCAAAATAAAGGTTTAATAGCTTTGTATTATAGAAGGTATCACACTGCGGACTGTCAAGCCCCTGAGTTAAGATTCTGTGTGTAAAGGTAAAATAAACTTTGACACAAATCAAAATGGACTCCCCCTGTACATATTTCACTGTGTCTGACACTTGAGCATCGTTATTTTAATTCAAGGAATCAGTCCAAATTATTAAAAATGCGCTAATCAACATGCTGTAGTAACAAAGGGTTGAGTCACTGGCCGTATTGTGAAAGGGTCTCTGGTGATGATGATGCCACAGACAGTCGCCAGGCTCTGCCCCCCACAGTGAACTGGTTTAGCATCTTTAGCACATTGCTTTGTTGTGGCTTGCTCCAACAGTTTACATTTTTACACTGAAACAAACTGGTCTTTATTTTGGGGTCTAAGAACTGACTTCACATTGTCTATAACAAAAAATCCCCTTTGGGATTTGACTGCTTTCCAACATCTTAGCTTAGTCCAAGTAATCATATTAATTTATATCAATTTATCTTTGAGTGAAAGTGTCTTCTCTCCTTAAATGGGGAGTTTATATCTTCATTCAAGGTCTTGTAAATTCAGGTGAAATGGAGATGACTTTGTCAGTGGCCGAGGTTTCTTCTTAAAAACTAAAAGTGTTGCCAACAACGCCACCTAGGTAAAAGCCCTAGGAACTCTAAATAATTAAAAACAAAGGTTCGTTTGTTTGGAGGGGAGCAGTAAAACAATGACCCAAGAGGAGACAGGGGCGGAAATACGACTAAAACATATTTATTTTAATACAAAGGTTAAAATATATAAAAGGGAGCTAAAATAGTCCGTCCAGGGTCATCACCACAGCAGGAGCGAAGTCCTGCGCGTCCCTAGTCCACTGGTGTGGACGTCTGACTGCCAGTCGCCCTCTGCTGCTGCTGCTGCTGCTGCTGCTGCTGCTGCTGCTGCTGGTGGTGAGTCTGCTCCTGCCCTCCGCTGCTGCTGCTTCTGGTGGTGAGTCTGCTGCTGCTGCTGCTGCTGGTGGTGGTACCTCTGCTTCTCCCTTCTCTCGTGTCTCGTTTCTTCCCGGTTCTCCTTGTTGCTCCCCAGCTCTCCTTGTTGCTCCCCAGCTCCCCTTTCCAGTTTCGCCCTGTTTCTTCCCCGTTTCTTCTTCGTTTCTCCTTCGGCCAGTGTTCTGTCTTCCTGCTTAAAAAGAGAAAGTTCTGCCCCTGGCCTTTCCCCATTGGTCCATTTGCCATATGCCACTAATTGCTAATGAGTTGGGGACGATTGTCAATTGAGGACACAACTCAAACAAAACTCAAAGCAGATTATAAATTGTCCAGCATGCAATCACAAAACAACAAGTCATAGAAACATGCAATCATAAAATAACAAACTGTAAAAACATGCAACAACAAATCAATAAAACATGCAATCAATAAAATATGCAATCAATTGTGCATGCAATCAATGGTCCCCAATCGTCCACCCAGTGACATACTCCCCCACTTAAACGTAGGCAGTCCCTGCCACTGGACAAGCCTAATGTCGATATCGGCTTGGTGGTAGTCCACGGGTAGCGCGTGCCGACCGGCGGAGCGCATTGTCCACTACTTCTGCTGCTGGTTCAGGAGGCAAAATGTCTGCCCCTACCTCAGGGGGCTCAAAAGCAGGTACTACATAAAATCCAAAAGGTACAGGGTCTACTTCCGCCTCTGTCTCGACTATAGTACCTGGTTCAGGGATGACATTGACAGGGGTTATACAAGGTTTCAGGGCATTCCTGTGTTGGGTTCTGACCTTCCCACCGCTCTCTGGCCTAACTTTGTATACCACCCCAGAATCACCCACAAGGCTAACGACAACATAGGGCTCTGGGTTCCACCATGATCGTATCTTCCCTTGTCCCTGTCTGTTCCTATCTCGCACCCACACTCGTTCACCTGGGAGGAGGGATGACGCCTGGGCCTTACGGTCATAGCTTCTCTTATCGCGTTCGGCGGCATGACCCATCCTTTCCCTAGCGAGCTTGTAAGCTAGAGTTAGTTTTTGATGGTGGTCTTCCACCCACCCACTAAGTGCCAGGATTGGTGAGGCGCTACTCCCAACTCTACGTCTACTGGGAGTCTTAGATGGCGCCCGAACATGAGGTAAGCGGGGGCAAAACCTGTAGAACTGTGGACAGTATTGTTGTAGGCTTGCAACAACTCTTGGACATGCTCGGCCCACCTATTCTGTTTTTCACCTCTCAACGTGCGTAATAGGTTTAGCACAGTCTGATTCAGCCTTTCTACCCTACCGTTCCCAGCCGGGTGGTAGGGGGTTGTTCTGCTCTTTGTTACTCCATACATGGCACAAAGCTGCTGCATCAAAGTGGATTCAAAATTTGGGCCCATATCTGGATGGAAACGACCTGGGCAGCCGAATGTCTGAATAACATGAGACCATATTTCCCTGACTGTAGTCTTTGCTGTCTGGTCTCGAGTAGGGACAGCCCATGCATAACGAGTAAACATGTCGGTCATTACAAGGATGTTTTGGTATGCATCCATCGGCCTACCGAGAGAAAGGAAATCGAGGGCAACCACCTCAAGGGGGTATGATACTACAATTGGGTTCAGGGGTGCCTTAGCCTCTATTTTGTCCTTCAAGCTACATACGACGCACCCCGAATGAAACCCCTGTACCTCTTCTTCCATACGAGGCCAGTAGAAACAGCGTCGAATATTGGCCAAGGTCCTCTCAATTCCTGGGTGTCCGGCCGCCTCATGATATTTCTGCCAGACCTCTTGGCACCTAGATGCTGGGCACACAATTTGGGATCGTAGCTCATGAGTGTTGGGGTCAATTACCTCTCGGTAGAGCACCTGCTCTCGGACAACCAATATCTTCCATTGTTGGAGGATCCTTCTGGTATTTCCGGTCATAGCCCTCTTCTCTGGTCCTTGTGGAGGCAGTCCCTGGCCCACATACCTCTTGATGATGGCAATGTCTGGGTCATCTTGTTGCCAGTTTCCCCAATCGCCGGAGAGTGGCGCCACTCCGTCCTCTTGGTCGAGTCTAGCAGTAGTAAAGTTGACCTTAGCCGATGTTCTACCTGTGCACATGGACACTTGGGGGAACCTGGACAGGGCATCAGCATTAGCATTCTCTTTTCCAGAACGGTACTTCACAGTGTAATCAAAAGAGGCCAGTTGTGCGACCCACCGCTGTTCCACAGCACCCAGACGAGCAGTCTGTAAATGAGCCACTGGATTGTTGTCCGTGAAAACTACGAATTTAGCCCCAGTCAGGTAGTCTTTGAATTTCTCTACAATAGCCCACTTTAATGCCAAGAGCTCTAGCTTGAAGGAGCTATAGTTTGCATCGTTCTGTTCTGCCGGGTGCAAGCTACGGCTAGCATAAGCTATTACACGCTTTCGGCCGTCTTGCACTTGGGCAAGAACAGCCCCTAGTCCTCTGTTACTTGCATCAGTGTACACTACAAAAGGCAGGGCAAAGTCAGCATAAGCTAGGATTGGGGCTTGGGTTAGGGCAGCCTTCAGTTGCTCAAACGCAGATTGGCATTCTTTTGTCCAAAGTATCTTCTGGGACCCTGACCTTTTATCAGTGGGAATGCCTGCTAAAAGCGTATTCAAGGGTCGGGCAATCTTTGAGAATCCCAATACGAAACGCCTATAATAGCCAGCCAATCCTAGAAAGGCTCTGACCCGTTTGATGGTCGTTGGAGGACTCCATTCGGTGACTGCAGACACCTTTTCGGGATCGGGACGGACCCCTTCCTTGTCAACCACATGCCCCAGAAACTTCACCTGTTTCTGCAGAAGTTTACATTTGCTGGTTTTAAGTTTCAGACCATACTTCTGGAGTCTCTTAAACACCTCTTCCAGATGCTGCAAGTGGGAGGAGAAATCATTTGAGTAAACAATGATATCATCGAGGTAAACAAGCAGTGACTCCGTTAGTTGTCCGCCTAGGCACCGTTGCATAAGGCGCTGAAAGGTAGCAGGGGCATTACAAAGACCAAATGGCATCCTATCAAACTCGAAAAGACCCAATGGTGTTGTAAAAGCAGTCTTCTCGCGATCTTGTGGGTCCATCTCCACCTGCCAGTACCCACTTGCGAGGTCTAAAGTTGAAAACCACTCAGCCCTATTGAGGGTGGTAAGGGTCTCTTCAATTCTGGGGAGGGGAAATGCATCCTTATGAGTCACAGAATTCAATTTCCTGTAATCCACACAGAACCTCAGACTTCCATCTTTCTTCCTTACTAGCACAATAGGTGAAGCCCATGGACTAGAGCTCTCTCGAATCACATTGTTCTTTAGCATACCTGCCAGCAGAGTCTTCATATCCTTATAGAGAGTTGGAGGTAAGGGCCGGAACCGATCTCGGATTGGAGCTGCATCACCTGTGGGTATTCTGTGTTGAACAATGCCAGTCCGCCCAAAGTCATCATCGTTGGCAGCAAAAACATTACTCCACTTATTTAACAGAACACCCAGGTCTACCCGTTGTTGCTCAGTTAGATCAGGCCGGTCAACTAAATTGTTCACCTCGCAGTCAGGATTTAAATCTTCTGGGACCTCACAGGCCTCCACGACGCCAACCTGAACTACACCCTCGCAGTCTTGTGTCAGGCTTAAATCCTCCTTTCCATACAAATCAGTCTCCTCCACTTGGCTGATAGTTCCCAACTTCTGGTATCGGCCTATGGACAAACTGTAGGGGTGAGGATTACAAACACGAACAGGGAGTCTTCCTTTCCTTACCGTTACCACGGTTCTTGCGGTTCCAACGGCACTAGTGTGTGGGAGGGCCTCCACTAGTCCACAATAATCAGTCCCTTTTGGGCCCATACGAGCACGGCCCCATATTACTACTTCGGTGAAGGCTGGAACACGTACCTTCTGGCGGGTAGCTGGGCGGACATAATGTGTAGACAAGTCACCTGTTGAGACGCTGATCCGCTGGCATGTAGCGAATGCTTGACTCCAAGCCTTCTGAGCCTGAGGGCTATCACCGGGCAGTGTAGATCCCCCAGTCTTCTGAAAAAGAGTCTCCCAGCAAGCACTAATGACGTTCATTCCCAGAATCAAGGGATTAGTTGAGCATTCGTTTTTTACAATGACAACACCCCTATTCGGTATCTTAATGTGTCCCACTTCAAAGTTCATCACCGCGTAGCCTATATACGGGATTTCCAGGCCATTAGCCGCTTTGAGAGTCAATACAGCCGGGGTTCCTCCCACACCCAGCTTGCAATCAGGGAAATGTCGTTCCAGTACTTGCTGTTGCATCAAAGTTACTTGAGAACCAGTATCCAGTAACCCTGAGAGTTCTACTCCATCTATGCGAACCTTTACCATTGGACAATTTCCTACAAAGGTTGGGGTGGCCCCTACATTGGCTATACTATCTGACCCTACTACTCGGACCTCAGGAGCAGGGCTAACTAGTTTAAAGCCGGCCTGGTTTCTGAAGTTGCCCTACAAAATCTAGCCACATGTCCCGGCTGTTTACAGCGACGGCAGATAGGCCTACCTTCAGTATCCCATCTATTAGAACAGTCAGATGTTGCTCGTCGTCGTCCACCTACTGGGGGAGCATAAATGGGATGGTTAGGTTGTCTGGGCTCTAGGAGAGGTCGCAGTTCCCGAACAATCTCCTGAGTCAGCCCTTTCATCTGGCCCGCCACTTCTGCCATAATCTCATCTTTAAAGGCTTGTTTCCAGTCCCGTTCGGATGTCAAGGGCTTTGCTGCCTGGGCTTCTCGTACAGCAGAACACTCTACCCCGGTTAGTCTTTCACCACCATGCTCGTCATCCAACAGCATTGCTTCCTGGCGTAGATCGTCAAAGCTCCGTCCTGGATTACGTCGGGCATAGGTTTTTAGATCCTGGGCCAGGGCACCATCTTCCAAGCCTAGTAGGAACTGTTCACGCAGATTGTTTTCCGTGGGGGCGTCATCCGGGCTGCGTTGTTGTAGCCTGCAATATAGCCCTCGCAAGCGTAACAGATACGCTTTCACAGTTTCCCTAGGCTTTTGATAACAATTATAAAAATGGGCGCGTAATGCAGGGATAGAAGTTTGTTCCCCATAGAGTGCATCTAAATAGGTAAATATTTTAGCAACTCTATCGCGCTCATCCTCAACCAAAACACCAACCTGTTGTTTGGCTTCTCCCCCCCAAAGCTCCTAAGACAATTTCTACTTTCTTTGCTTCAGAAAATTCCTGAATACCTAAAAGTCCTTGGATCTGTTCTTTCCAGTCCCCATATTGTAAACTGCCACTAGGTCCTGTATATTTGGGAACCCAAGGGGCACCAGCATACAAAGGCATCATCATCATTATTAAGTTAAACAGGGATCGCTTAGGCCAATGTTCACTGCTCCCAAAAAATCCAAGTCCTGCCAGCAACGCCAAATATATGTCAGCGGCCGAGGTTTCTTCTTAAAAACTAAAAGTGTTGCCAACAACGCCACCTAGGTAAAAGCCCTAGGAACTCTAAATAATTAAAAACAAAGGTTCGTTTGTTTGGAGGGGAGCAGTAAAACAATGACCCAAGAGGAGACAGGGGCGGAAATACGACTAAAAAATATTTATTTTAATACAAAGGTTAAAATATATAAAAGGGAGCTAAAATAGTCCGTCCAGGGTCATCACCACAGCAGGAGCGAAGTCCTGCGCGTCCCTAGTCCACTGGTGTGGACGTCTGACTGCCAGTCGCCCTCTGCTGCTGCTGCTGCTGCTGCTGCTGCTGGTGGTGGTGAGTCTGCTCCTGCCCTCCGCTGCTGCTGCTTCTGGTGGTGAGTCTGCTGCTGCTGCTGCTGGTGGTGGTGGTACCTCTGCTTCTCCCTTCTCTCGTGTCTCGTTTCTTCCCGGTTCTCCTTGTTGCTCCCCAGCTCTCCTTGTTGCTCCCCAGCTCCCCTTTCCAGTTTCGCCCTGTTTCTTCCCTGTTTCTTCCCCGTTTCTCCTTCTGCCAGTGTTCTGTCTTCCTGCTTAAAAAGAGAAAGTTCTGCCCCTGGCCTTTCCCTATTGGTCCATTTGCCATATGCCACTAATTGCTAATGAGTTGGGGACGATTGTCAATTGAGGACACAACTCAAACAAAACTCAAAGCAGATTATAAATTGTCCAGCATGCACATCACAAAACAACAAGTCATAGAAACATGCAATCATAAAATAACAAACTGTAAAAACATGCAACAACAAATCAATAAAACATGCAATCAATAAAATATGCAATCAATTGTGCATGCAATCAATGGTCCCCAATCGTCCACCCAGTGACAACTTCAGCTATTATTATCTGGTTCCATATTTACTCTCTGTCTCTACTTACTGTCTCAATTTGACTCTACGAGACACAGCTAGAATCTAAAACAAATGCATGTAAATGGCCTTGCAGTTTTGAAGCAGTTTTATAATCCCTCTTCTGCTCCTCGTAGACATCCTGGCAGATCAAGGCAGTCCTCTCCCGCAGGATACAGACATCTTACCCTTCAGCGGCTATCCAGGCATGCAGTATCCGTCCATGGAGCAGACCATGTCTTCCACGCCATACTACTCCAGTCAAAGCTACTACCCTCAGTACCACGGAGAGGAATGGTTCTCCCACACAGGGATATGCGAACTGAGCAAGGAACCCCTGGAGGGCGGTTACGTTGCTGAGATCGAGGAGGTGTCCCCCGTGGTGCCCGCCGTCTGCAAGAGGACCCGCCACATGTCGCAGGCTGGACGGGTCAAAGGGGAGCAACTGTGCGTGGTGTGTGGAGACAAGGCCTCTGGGTACCACTATAACGTTCTCACCTGTGAGGGGTGCAAAGGTGAGGAAGCTTTAGGGACTGGATTTTAGCCAAACATAGTCATCTTGTAGTTCCTGGCACATAGGAATGCTGCTGTTGTATAGAAGGATGCGTCTCCCACCAAATATGGCAAAAATGAAATTGCCTCTGGCTGTCGCATTTAGCTATGGTCTCCCATTACTAAGGATGATCGGATTGAGACATGAGCATTTGTAATTAATAGCGCGTTGGTAGTGTGGTCTGTGCTTAAAAGCATAACAGACAGACTGTTTTCGTGCCGTTGGTCAAATTAGATCACAGGCTGTTAACCACACTTTACAACAGTCAATGCTAGTGCTGAACACTGTGCACAATTTGGTTGATTACATATTTGATTAGATGCACAGTGCAGTATATAGAGTTGGCTCTGACTTGGTTTTGGAGTCGTGGCCTTTTGCTGCTGCTCCCCTTGTTTCCCCGTGAATGTGCCATGAATCCAAAGCGAAACCACTGAGAGAATGGATATGAGTGAAATTCCACACTGGGAGGTCGGACAATGGCAGGAGTGCAGCAGCTCAGAGAAAAGGCTCGAGTCTATTCGGTGCTGCTGCCAGGTCGGGTTCCCTCTCAGCTTTCTGTTGTACAATGCAGGAGCAACGTGAGCTCGGTTACGCTAATGAATGTCGTTCAGCTTAATGTTCCATGTCAGAATGTCTAATAACTGTTCCAAAGTTATTCTGTGTGTGTGAGTGTGTGTGTGTGTGTGTGTGTGTGTGTGTGTGTGTGTGTGTGTGTGTGTGTGTCTGGAACATCTGTGACATTATTAGAACGGTGTGTAACCTAGAAATATTATGATCCTTCCTGATCATAGGGTGAAATCTGCATTTAATAAATACAGAGCAAAGATGACAGAAGACCAAATTATATTTTTAGACTTACAAATAGACAAACAAAAAGTATTTGTTATCTAATAAATGTTCTGAAAGCAGCTCAATATTTTCATAGCGAAGTACATCTGTAATCAACTGAAAACGACTACTTGAGTCAGTGTTCTTTAGAATGAGACAATCCACGATGTACAACAAGTCTTGGCTTTATTCAGCATCTTCTGTCCCTGGTAACACAATAACAACTTGTTTTTATCAGGTTTCTTCAGAAGAAGCATAACAAAGAACGCTGTTTATAAATGCAAGAGTGGCGGAAACTGTGAAATGGACATGTACATGCGCAGGAAATGCCAGGAGTGTCGACTAAGAAAGTGCAGGGAGATGGGCATGCTGGCTGAATGTGAGTATCGCTCCTTGTTAACAGACTCCGGTTCCTGCTGCTGCTGACAGGGTTCAGAAACAACTAATTGGATGGGAAACAAAGACTTGTAGGCACATTTAAATGTAATAATATCACCCATCTTTGCAAAGTGATTTGCACCGAGCACATGCACACACAGTACGATGTCTATTTAGTCCGGTCAAGTCAGGCTACCCAAGCACGCTGTGGTGAGCTCTCTTTCCCTGACATGACATGGCCTGTTGGATTGGCTGTAACATATCACACAATAGAAAAAGCCTTTTGAAATATAAGTAGTTATTTAAACAACTAGTCATGACTCCACCTGTTGGAGCAAAAAGGGGTCTATAGCGCTGAAGTTACAAAGTCATATAGAAACATAGGTTGCAACAGTAAAATTAATTAAAAAAGCAATTATTAGAAACATGAATTGATTTCAATGTAGCCGTGACTCATGAACCACTGACTTGTATGGGTATCGTCACATTGGATATGATATGTAATGTTAGAATTAGAGACCTCATTATGGCCTCGTGGTAGATGAAAATCAGCAACGGATGCTGATGAATAAAGAGCTGCGAGGTATTTAACACTCCCAGTGAAGCCTTCATCACCCCTACCCCCTCCCCCCGGCAGGCCTGCTGACAGAGATCCAGTGTAAGTCGAAAAGGCTGCGGAAGTACACCAAGGAGTCGCCGGGACAGTCGCCCGGAAACGAGACGGAGGGGGCGGACAACACAGACAACAAACAGGTCTCCTCGACCACCAAACTGTCCAAGGTAAACACAATCTCAGCCAGGTCGGGAAAATGTGCGGTTCTTCACCCTCCCAGTTTACTCACGTAAGTAAAGTAATAATACGTTTTGTTTTTTTCTTCAGGAGAAATTGGAGATCAACAGAGAGCAGCGGGCTCTCATGAAAGCCATTGTGGATGCCTACAACAGACATCAAATCCCTGAAGACGTAGCCAAAAAACTGGTAAATTCTCAAAGTCCATTTGGACTTTTCTTGAATTACCGTAACCATCGACAGTTAAATATTCCTATTCCTGAAGTTAGCATCAGAGAGTGCCGCTCAAAGCCAGTACGAGAGGACGGCGCAATCACACTATTTGACTGACTAAAGTTCACATGACACGTTGCTACACCTGTTAAACATAACAGTTTACTGCTGGTGGAATGTGTGCAGCTTGCTGCGTCTTCTCTCTGTTCATCTGGTGTTTTTGTTTGCACTTTGTTTACTTTGTTTTGTCCCTGCAGCTGCAGGACCAGTACAGCCCAGAGGAAAACTTCCTCCTATTGACAGAAATGGCAACTAGTCAAGTTCAAGTTTTGGTGGAATTTACAAAAAACATTCCAGGTACTGTTCCATAGTATTCAGGTATTATAGAATAGATACCTTTCTTAATATATACAATGGACAATAACATGGCGCACGTGACTCTTGGCGGATGGAATGAGTGTTTTGTTGCCTCTGGCAGGCTTCCTCTCTCTGGATCGGGAGGATCAGATCGCTCTCCTGAAGGGTTCGGCCGTAGAGGCCATGTTTCTACGCTCTGCGCAGGTTTTCAGCAGAAAGATGCCCACCGAACACACAGACGTTTTGGAGGAGAGGGTACGCAAGAGCGGTGAGTCACTGAAGTTGTCCCTTAAAAGTACAAGGCACTCTCTGGTACAACATACGCTACTTTTGGATTGGAAGAGCCACGTTCAGAATTCAAATAGTTCAAGCCCACAAATCCTCCTATTTTAAACCTTATTTCAAACCTTTAAGAATAAGAACTAGCAGGCAGCACATGCAGCATCGTGACATTCGTAGTTTCACTTGTAGCAAAGCAGCCAGTTCAAGTCAGATCAACCTTTAATAATTGATCTTCCTGATGCGTCTGGCGTCGCTTGGAGATGTGTTGACCTGTTGATCTCTGGCTGGGTGTAGGTTACACATGCACGCACACCCTCGGCGGCTACAGTTTCATTGCAAAGGAACCCAGATCTAAGGTCAAACTTTATTAAAACACACACATATTATTAGTCTGTTTTTGCAGCCTCTGTTTACACACGACTCCCATATACAATAGTTTTCCAGCTTGGTGGGTTGAAGAAGTCATTTATTATGACTATGTTATTTATGTATGCGAGGTGTCATTATGTCAACCAGTTTGGACAGTTTAGACAGACAGTGATGGCAGCACTGTGTGTGTGTGTGTGGGGGGGGGGGGGGGGGGGAGTCACTGGGTCCCTCGGTGCAGCTCGGCTTTGAATGGTGAGAGATATTCACACTAAAGGCCAGTCTGGGAGAAAAGGGGAGCAAAGCTGTCTGAAGAGACCATTGTTCCTTATCAAAACATCAAGAGTGCCATTGTCCACTTCTCTCCCTCTGAGCCCCACTGGCATTTCTGAATGCTTCATGATGTGTCCGAACAGACAGACACACTCTACTAGAATAAAGACCTTCGGAAGTAGTCACTGTTGCCAGTGTGCAAGAGGAGACTAAATGCAAACATTTAAAGATGATCTAAAGAGCGCTTTGTCATAATCATGCAGATGATGAAGAAATGAATGACGCAGATCCCCCTTCTACTTAACTGAAACTTATTTTTGTAAATGTGTGCAGATAAATGACCATGAAAAGTATGATCGGAGCTGAGTTAACACAAGGGGAACTTGATTGTGTCCACTCAGCATATCATTTGAAAACTGCATTTATTGCTTTCTGCAGGTATACCCGATGAATTTATGACACCCATGTTCAACTTTTACAAAAGTATCGGTGAACTCCACATGGTGCAGGAGGAACAGGCTATCCTCACTGCCATAACTATCCTGACTCCAGGTGAGCCGACCGTACATCTATTTATTAACACTGTGTGCATTTTATTCCGGAAAAACGATTAATTTATCACCCTCTTCAGATCGGCCTTATGTCAAGGATCCTCAGGCAGTCGAGAGGCTTCAGGAGACCATGCTGGACGTGCTGAGGAAGCTGTGTGTCCTGCAGCACCCACAAGAGCAGCAGTACTTTGCTCGCCTCCTGGGCCGTCTGACGGAGCTGAGAACGCTCAGCCACTACCACTCCGAGATGCTCGCTTCCTGGAGAATGAACGACCATAAATTCACGCCGCTGCTCTGTGAGATATGGGACGTGCAGTGACGCACCGGGAGAGGCGGAGAAAGTAGTAACATGGGGATGAGAACACGAACATTTGTACTTGTAAGACAAAGTCATGGTCCAGTGCATATTTATTTTGGGTGATGTGAGGGTGCGGCATTAAATCCCTGGCCACTATCATTCTTTTTGATTCAGTAAATGGTTTAAAGTATTGCTTGTGTTTATTCTGCTCATGCATTTATTTTATGTATAACAGTCCTAACATATTCATGTTAATTTGTTGTGTGAGGCAGCCAACTCTTCGTTGTCTCACTGTTTAGATGTTATAACATCTTGAAGAACAAAAAAGTTCAAACACTGAAACTCATTCTGAGCATAGACGGTGCTTATAAGAAATCCAAAGTTAAATTGAGTCATTTCTCCTTCAATGAACAAGGTTCACGCTGAAAAATTATTTTGATTATTTTTATCCCTGTTATATTAGGAGTTCACATACAGACATATCATGTGGTACATCCATAAATTATATTAGTAGCTATAAATGTTTTTTTTGCATGTTCTAGCAATTTTCTAGATAATTAAAAAACATTCAACACAGACTCTCTATTTCTCTCGTGTTATACGTCCTTTATTGCTGTGGGTGTTGCTGTAGTGGGAAAGTTGCAGTAGCTTTAGCAGAAGCTTTTATGATTGCAGCAGCGCCACCACCGGGAGGACGAGTGAGGATCCATGTTTTCAGAACTATGCTGAGGGAATGAAGATCATCAGTGGCGACAGCTGTACATGTCAACCGTATGTACTGATAGCATTGCATTTAAAACTAGAAAATGCATTTCCTGCTGAAAATGCGTTGGAATGCAAAAAGTTGAAAGATGAAATAAATTTTTTAAAATAGCTGAAATTACAGAAAGTTGAAGGGAATTTGAATACATTTGCTGAAATGACAGATATTAGAAAAGCTGAAATTAATTTGAAATTGCTGAAAATACAGAATTGGGAGAAGCTGAAAGGAATTTCAATAGATTTGCTGAAAAAGCAGAAATGAAAACAGCTGAAATAAATGTGAAATCTTGCACAAAAAAATACACAAATGAATATTAAAACATTGCTGTTAATAGAGGCATGACAAAAGCAGACATTATTTTAAAAAACTGCTGAAAATACAGGAAGTGGGGAAGCTGAATTTCAATAGATTTTCTAAAAAATAAAGAAGTTGCAGGAGCTTAAATGAATTTTAAAAAGTACAGAAATAACAAAAGCTGAGATGAATAAAAAGAGATTTAAAATTGTTTGTAGTAATATTAGTAGTAGTAGTAGTTATAGTTGTAATTGTGGTATTAGTAGTACTAGCAGTAGAAGTCGGTTTAGTATAAATAGCAGTAGAAACAGCTGGAATACTCATACTATTAGCCATAGTAGTATTTGTAATAACATTAGTAGTAGTTGTAGTATTAATAGCAGTAGAAATACTAGTAGTATGGTGGTAGAAGTATCAGTTGTAGTACTAGAAGTACTAGTTATATTCGTAGTGGTTGTGGTAGTATTTGAAAGAGCAATACGTATTTCAACGAAACCGCTTCATTCTGAGCTTCATGGTTAAGGTACAGACAATCATTGAGGCTTTTATTTTGTAATGATGGAATTGGGTGAGGGGGGGTTGGGAGACTGAATGTTTGTTATTCAAACTAAGAAGTTTTTAATTAATAGGCCTCATAGGTGTAGATAGAGGGAGGGAGGGTGAGAGGGTAAAGAAGGTGTGGTGGAAATTTGTGGATTTAGCCCATGTGAGAAATCAAAAGTATCTTGAGCTTGCTTTGTGATTAAGTATTTATTATTAACTAGAATATAGAAAAATGATAAAGAATACAGAAATTATCAGCACAAGTCGTAAGCACAGACAGAAGTCAAATGACTACAATTCAGCTGAAAAGGGACAGAAAGTTCCTTCCCCCAAAAGGAGCAGGAAGATCTGACCAAGTTTCTATGGGGGACCAGGAGCTTTTATACATCTCTGAAGGTTCGAGAAATGGTAACCAGATGTTGTTTGGGAACCTCCGCGACCCTCTTAGTGGGACCAAATCAATCATTTTGACTAAGAGAGGAATAGGAGAAAGGTAAATAGAAGAACATTACATTACATTACATGTCATTTAGCGGACGCTTTTATCCAAAGCGATGTACAATAGGTGCATTCAACCATAGGGTACAAACTGAGGAGAACAAGAAACACGAAAGTGCATTTTCCTCAAATAAGCCAATTTACAATTTGCCATCAGATGAGTGACGTTACAAGGACAATTTAAGTGCTACAATTTGTTAGTCTTTAGTCGAGGTAGAGTCTGAAGAGGTGTGTCTTTAGTTTGCGGTGGAAGATGTGAAGGCTCTCTGCAGTCCTGGTGTCTTCAGAGAGCTCGTTCCACCATTTCGGCGCAAGGACAGCAAAGAGTCGAGATCTAGTCGAGTGTTTTGCTCTCAGTCAGGGATGAAACGAGTAGTTTTCAGCAGGGCCGAGATCCTCCTTGTGGCACTGGCACGCAATGGCACTCAGTGGCACTCAGTGGCTCTCATTGGCACAACTCGTGGCACTCAGTGGCTCTCATTGGCACAACTCGTGGCACTCAGTGGCTCTCATTGGCACAACTCGTGGCACTCAGTGGCTCTCATTGGCACAACTCGTGGCACAACTCGTGGCACTCAGTGGCTCTCATTGGCACAACTCGTGGCACTCAGTGGCTCTCATTGGCACAACTCGTGGCACAACTCGTGGCACTCAGTGGCTCTCTTTGGCACAACTCGTGGCACTCAGTGGCTCTCTTTGGCACAACTCGTGGCACTCAGTGGCTCTCTTTGGCACAACTCGTGGCACTCAGTGGCTCTCTTTGGCACAACTCGTGGCACTCAGTGACTCTCATTGGCACAACTCGTGGCACAACTCGTGGCACTCAGTGGCTCTCATTGGCACAACTCGTGGCACTCAGTGGCTCTCATTGGCACAACTCGTGGCACTCAGTGGCACAACTTGCGGCAAGTAAGGGGCGGGCGTCGCAACGCCACCCCGAGTGGGCGGAGCCAGGCTTTCCCGGAAACGGCCGTTGTTTGTGCGACAGGTTAGTTGCCGTAAAGATGTTTTTTGTAGTTCTTTTTTATTTCATTGCATGTTTTTGTATTTATTTTATTTTATTTGATACACAATATATTCCCCACCTCTATCTCAAGTCCGACGTATTCCGCTGGGGGGGTTGGGGAGGGGGGCACAGACGGGGGTGTTCCAACGGGAGGGATCGGCGGTGGAGTAGTGTGGTAGAATTTCGGAAGGTTGAAGACCAGTCGAGCTGCTGCATTCTGAATGAGCTGCAGAGGTCGAATGGAGTCAGGGAGAGTTGGCTGTCGAGTGTGACACCGAGGTTCTTAGCGGTCAAAGTGGCCGTTATGGTCTGTCCAGGCCACATATGGATTTCATCGTGGACTAGGTCAGGTCGCGAGTTTCCCATGAAAGGTCACATACGAGTTCTTGAGACTCTCACAATATGCACCTCAACAAATTCTCCCTCGACAGAAGGGAGGGGTGGTGAGGAAGACATAGAGAGGGAGAGAGAGGAGGAGAATTAGACAGACAGACTGAGTGACTGAGTGATTAACAGTGAGTAGAGGTCAGGGTGGAGGGGGGCGGGGGGGGGCGAGTGTCTTTATCATATTGGTCTGTTGACAGAAAGCATAGCTGCGTCATGTGACTCCACTAATCAGGTCATAGGAGCAGCTGTGAGTCATAGACAGAGATCCTGCAGCGTGTGAGCGAGTAACCACGGCAACGACGCACCTGTGCTCATTAACGAGCTGCTGCAAAGGGCAGACACAGGACAGCGAGTTACACAGAATCCACACCTCAAACAAATGACCACCAGCGCAAAACTATAACAGCTATCTAAAAAATACAGCGTTTTTACGAGACCCAAGACTCTACCGAACGCATGGATGTGTTTTTTATGTCTGTCCGGTAATAAATACGGCTCCTATCGCCGTTGACAAAACGTGTACCTTCTGGATTTTTTGAGAAACATGTCGGCAGATTTATATTAGAGCCTATGGGGCTTTTGGCAGAGGTTGTGTCACTCTAACACTTCTTAAGCCAAAACTAAAGAACTCTGGGATTCTATGAACTCATTAATCCAATCAGCACAACCATGCCCTTGTTAATCTGAAGAAATTAAGCCTCAAGAGTGTATACTTTGGCTGCAAGGACAGAAGTTCCATATTTTTTTAACCAGATTCTGGTGCTGCCTCACACTCTAAGATCTCCGGGTCTCACTCTAGCAGACGCAATACACTCATGTAAAAGTCAGAAACGGAGAGAAGAACTAGTGAAACATAATCAGTGATTATGAAAAAAGTACAATAGATATCAACAAGCAGTTTCATAAAATAGTTGAGACCTGTGTCAACATTTGAAAATTTAAATGGTGTCTGTAGCTGAAAGATTGGCGGAGCTGAAAAGTCTGAAAGTTAAAGAAGTTTAAGAGGATTTGAAAACAATCTCCATTGGAAAACCATGTTAAAATATTAATGATTATTGATTTATATAAATTCAAGCATAAGAGGTAGAAAGCTGAAAAGCTATAGCCCTCAAGCCAGAAAGGAGCTGAACATTTTAATATTTGAACGGTTTTAATAGCTGAAAGTGTGAAGGAGTTGAAAGGTGCCACGGAAGAAATAGAATAAGTTGAAATCAAGAATAGAAGAACAATACTTGGAATGCTTAATGCATTCCAACAAATAGAAGAACAATACTTGGAATGCTTAATGCATTCCAACAATAAACTGGAAAGACTTCAAATTCAATGAAGCATACTCATTTATTTTGTTGTCTGAAATGAGACAGAGATTTATCTCTACAAAATAAAAGTACTATTATCACTATTATCACCACTTACATGACCATGATATGCCACTGAATATCATGTTTACAGTAAGAACATTTTGATAAACTATACATAATTTACATAATATTCTTTGGTATGCAATATTAACGTAAAAAAAAATTGAAACGTAAAAAAATGCTTTTAAAACATCTGAATACAAATCATTATAAATGGTAAATACATTTATGAAACAATTGTTTTATTTTACTGACGAATCATTTTCATCCAACACATTTAGTGATTTCTTTCAGCTATTTTCACTTAAAAGAACAGAAATAACCTTGTTGCAGGCTGGTTAGTATCCATAATTGTATCATAGCGCCCTCTATTGGAGTAATGTGGGAACAAATATATGGAGTTACTCGCTGAAGATAAGTCAAAAACATGCTCTAACGATTTTCTACAATGTAAAATGTTGAATGTGTTACAAAAGTATGAGACAATCAGAGGGCGGCTCCGTCTTGAGTGGAGGCAGGTTCTGCTTCATGATAAAAGAGGAAGCCAGAAAAGGTTGTGTACCTCCCCTGGTTGCTGTACACGGCATAATGCTCATCCTGCTGACTGTACAGCCACACACTGTCGCCCCGGCCTCGTCGAACACCATCGCCTGCACCTCCCCCTTTCCCGTCATCAGCTTCACGGAAACGGCCCTGCGAGCGTGCTTCCCCACGGTGAAGGCGAAGAAGTAAGCGCCCGGGAAGTGGCAGGTGAACAGGCCCGAGGTTTGGTTGAAATGCCCCCCGATGTTGACGAACTCCACATCAAAGGTCAAAGGTGACTTGTCCTGCTGCCTGATGTTCTGACCCATGAGTGTGGAGGTCCGTGCCACAGAGAAGGCAGACTGGGGCTGCTCTGACGTCTGACCTCTGGCCGAGGGGTCAGACTGGGGGGGGCAGTTGGGATGGGACGGCACTGATTGGAACAGCCCTGGTGGTGTCCCCACCTGGTTGCTGACGTAGCTGTTAGGCAAAACATCAGGAAGGACAAGATATCCAGAGAAGGTGATGTAAGGGACGGCATTGCTGTACAAAGCGTATTGGGGATTCTGCTGTAAAAGCAGCCACACTGTGTCCATCTCCTTCAAACTGATCATGACACTCTGGCTTTGGAGTTTCCTCCCTTTCTTGCGGTAGTCGTCGTACGCCATCGCCTGCACCTCCTCTCCGTTCTTCACCAGTATCTTCGGAAACTTACCCACGGAGAAGGAGAAGTAGTAAGCCCCAGGGACACAGGGCAGCGGAAGTGACCGGTGTCCGGATTGAAGTCCCCTCCAATGTTGACCATGAGCCTGTCGAAGGTCATTTCCTTCTGCTTGCCGCTGATCACGCTGTTGGTGCGGGTGGCAGAGAAAGCAGATCGGAGATCCGGGGTCGCCGGAGGGGCATGAAGAGGCGAAACTGGTCCAGAGCAGGCGATTGTGATGAGTGCACACACCAGGTACCACCTCGGGCTCCCCTGGGCTACCAACAAAAAAAACGAGGAAGAAAAGAAAATGAAAGAAATGACATTTAGACAAACAAGTTACGCAAAGAAAGCTGGATGTTTCAGATTCATTAACAGTACAAAAACGTTAATTATGTAGTTCACAACCAGGTGGTCAGGACCCATAAATGGATTACAGTATAAATCTCAGACACATTAACACATGTTAATCCAAAATACACATGTAAAACACTCCAAGTTGCTAAGAAAGTCTTGCCAATCCATGTCAATATAAATCTTGCCACTCCAATCAAGCTGAGCTTGAGCATCAGCGCTGATGTGACGGATCTTGTCTGTTCATAACATAACATATCCTGATTTACTTTAATACACATTTGTGATGCTATTAACAAAGCACAAAGAAATACAGCAGCGAATAACATGAAGTATGTAAGTAAGTATTCAGAGGGTATAATTTACTACCCCTTTGCCAAGACAAAAAAAAAATCAAGCATACTTTTTTCCCTTCTGTTTAAACACACATTCTCGATAGGACCATCAAACCCACCCGTTGGTCGTTGGTTGATTAGAAATTTCATGCTGGACTTCATCTAAGACAGCTTTTAAAATATCATTCCCGTTAGTTGTCTCCACTGCTAATGCTCGTGTAGCAGGCCTCGCCACCGAGGGGACAAAAGCTTCTGTCCATCCAAAAACATCAGGAGGAGGAGCTCCAAGCCCCCCTTGCAAACAATTGAGATAAACGGGTCAAGGTGAACTTTCGTGTTGAAAATAAATAATCATTTAAGAGTTTTCCTTCTCAGTTGCTGTTCTCAAGCAGCACTGCAATAAACAGAACTCATCAGCTATAGGAGAATCTTTTAAAACGAGTACTATTGGAGGGTACAAATAGTGGTTACATAATGTTGAGAGTCCCTCAGAAAACTTTCTAACTGTAGTTCAAATAGTGTGTGTTAAATTATTCCAATCACTTCTTTAATGTTAAAGTGATTCTAAAAATGACAAAAAAAACGGTTGAATGTTTTTGTTATTGCAAGTGTTGTTTTTCCATGTATAACATTCAGTCTTTCCAACATGTAACGAAACATGAGCAATCGACGTCATGTCTTCTTCAATCTGAAAGAACATTATCAAAATCTGAAGAAAATAATACACGTTTGTTATTAATATATTTTGTGCAAAACCTTCGGGTATATTTCTCTAAATCCTGTCTAATGCAGAATTTAAAAAAAGGAACACGCCTTTTCTCTTTGCACATTCATAAAAGCGCCTCTCTCCATCAGCTGCGTCCACTGTCGTGACGTAGACAACCCGGAAGACGTGAGTTCGCTGCCAGCGACGCACAGGAGCCTCCGTCGAGAGCGAAACACCCGCATTTAACGTCAAAACAAGATGGCAGGGCTGCCCCGCAGGATTTCTAAGGTACTATTTCACATAGCAGCACACACACACACACACACACACACACACACACACACACACACACACACACACACACACACACACACACACACACACACACACACACACACACACCCGATCCCGGTGCTCGGAGGTACGCGTGCGTGCTCCTAAAGGCTCCGCGGTGAACGTCCAGCTCGCTAACGTTAACGGTTTGCTAAAATACCGAAATAACTTGCGTTTATTTCCTGTGCCTGGATGCACGGAGGGTTATTTAAACACCAACGCTATGAGACGCAGGCGGATAAATGTGCTTTTTTTTAAAAAATGCTGTTCATGTCAAATAATAGTGTTGTGTTGTGAAACTGCGACTGGTCACGTTTTGATTACTGACTAATTGGCGAGCTAATCTGTTAGCTAACCATGCTAAAACCAGCTAGTTTATTAAGCCTTGTTTGCGTGCGAATGATCTAAGATAAAGATAGCCTCGCATCCCTGGTGTTATACTACGTTATTTAAGCACACGTGAAGTTAGGAAACGTTCAGAATTAACTTGCGGGGCAGACTTTCACCCCCGACCTCACGGGGAAACATCAGCCCAGTAAGTTAGTAACCAAAGATGATTTGCTCAGCAAACTGAAGAAGCTGCTGAATTGGTTCCATGTGCTGTGTTGAACAGCGTGATACAGCCCACTGAGGGTCTCTTACTTTGAAATCCAGATTTCTTGCATTTCCGGGTTCTCTACGTCATGACGATGGATCGATCAATTATTAATAACCGTTATAAATGTTAACAATGTGCATGTGTCCCAGTTTATTTCTGGACGCCGTGTGTGTGGATGACATCGGCTGACACGGGGTGATGCACCATAATGTTGAAATGTGCTTTATTCAGCAGACAGTGGCTGAATACAGGTATATTTAAACAACCAGTATGATGACAATTACAGGTTTTCTTTGAATATTAAAGCATTTAAATATGTCACGCCTGGGAGCGTGCGACTGGGGCCGGGAGCCCCTCTCCCGTCTGTGTTTTCACTGCATGGTTTTGTCTGTGAGCTATCTGAAACATTTCAGGAATCTCTGTTTCATTCAGGGGAAGAATGGCAAAGACAAGTGCCAAGTTGGCAAGTTTATTTGATGTTTTCCTCCGCAGTTGCTATTTATTGTTCTCCGTTGTAATGCATCTAATAACCCATAACTGCAATTAGGCAAAAGAGGTACTATCAAGATTTCCAAATGGGTAAAATAATTCAATAAAAGAATAATCGCAGTGTGCACGTTTGAGAGTCAAGAACCCTGTAATTTCTGGAAATGTGATGCTGTTTTCCCGTTAAAGGCACACGTCAGGTGTATCAATGGCGCTGCCTCTCGCGTACCATAAGATGCTTTTCTTTTATGGTAAATGCAGATTTTTGTAGGTCACCTGGCTGCCGCTGTGAATTGGGCGAGAGGCCTCGCTGCAGTGGCCGAGGGGAATGAAAGTGATTGTCTCCCGTGGTGCCGAGTCAGCGCCACCTCTTAAGAATCACAGCGCTGAGCCAGTACTGCGGTCAAAGGCACCGCCCTGCGTGAGATGGCCACATCTCCACCGTGAGAATAGTAGTGACTCACCACTTGTATGCAGCTCTCCTTCGGAAATCCTTCAAACAGTTTGGTCAACACATTTTGCAGATGTTAATTCCTGAGGATGTTTTCCTAAATAAAATGCAGATCTCGTTGTCTGTTTTTTGCCGATTAGTGAAGTAAAGTGCAATAGTCGATATCCACGTTTCATACCCTTTTAACTCCTTAGTTAACCTTGTGTGCTATGAGCGATGCTCTGTGCTGCATCTTCTTTCAAAGTATTCGATGCACTCGGAGCTGCCTCCCTCTACTGAAATGTAGTGTTCACGCATTCTTCCGGGCAAACTCATTTCTTCCTGAAAGGGGCCTCATTTTGGGAGCTACCACTTCTTTTTGGAATGCAATTTTAAAGCCCCTCGGCAGCAACTTGCAACATGGGGGCACCACCAACAACAACAATTTATTTTTGTGTGCCAGGAAACTCAACGACTGATTGCAGAGCCGGTGCCGGGCATCAAGGCCGAGCCAGATGAATGCAACACCCGCTACTTTCATGTGGTCATTGCTGGACCTCAGGACTCGCCTTTCGAGGGCGGCACGTTTAAACTCGAGCTCTTTTTACCGGAAGGAGAGGCGCGCGCGCGTGGACGCGGCCTGCAGCCTCCAGCCAGCTGACGCAGCTCGGGGATGAATGAGCACGGCGCTCGCGTTAATAGCCGGCCGGGGGGGCTCGAGGGGACCGCCTGAAGAAGCGTAGAAGTTGGGAGCAGACACTTCTTCTTCAGCGTCTGGTTGAATCCAGACCCCCCCATCCTCCCCCACTTCCTCTTTACCTTAAAACAAAGACAAACGAACTCGACCGATTGGCAACATAAATGATGAAGTTTAAGCCCAACCAGACCCGGATTTACGATGGCGAGGGGTTCAAGAGAAGCGGCGTGTTTGTGTTTTAAAGACGAAGAAGAGGACAGGTAAGAGCGGCGTCACGTGCTCCACAATGAACCCCAATCTTAGGAGCCTCAGGACTTTATTTTAATTTGACCTGTTGGTCAGAGGTGAACACACCATGGCTGAAGTCCAAAATATTTGACCTAATGGAGAAAACAAAACAACCTGGGGTTTTACAAGCTGCCACTGATAGTAACCGTCTCTCAGCAGAAAAATGAGTGTGCACAGGACATTCGCTCAGCTTGTACACACCCACTCAAACATGCAGTCGACAGTCGATAGGGATATGTTACCTCAAATATTCAGACCAACTGCATCCTGCCAGCTAATTTTAGAGCTTGTAAATGATTTAAAATGGTGATATATAATATTGGCACACTTTACATTACAAATGATCAGCCTTGAACATTGTGCCGCTAATGTAACTCTTAAAAAGGAGCCTGTAGTCATTATCTAGAACAGTGGTTATCAACTGGTCTGGCTCCCGGACCCACCATCACCCCTTAATGACAACCCGCGACCCAAATCGAGGAACATTCTCGACATCTCAAATTTATTTAATGAAAATATGATGCAGTTTGAACCTGAGATCGTATGGAGACAGAATAGGTATGCCAACACAAAAACAAGTTTAATGAAAAAACAAAACAGCCAGCTGTTAATTCTAACTTTTATTTTCCCCTTTTCCTGGGAAAATAAAAGTTAGAATTAACAGCTGGCTGTTTTGTTGCGACCCATTAAAAACGGGTCCGCGACCCACCAGTTGAGAATCACTGATCTAGAACATATATTATTTTAATTTGATGCTTCTGATTATTATTATCATCTCCATTAATGTGGAGGAAGTTGTGCATTGTGGGTTAGGGTTCAACTGATTGTGTTTCCCCAGTGACGTGGGCCCCTCTGAGGAAAACATGTGATACGCCTCACTTTATGTGGCGAACTATTCATCCCATCGGGGTCATCAACATCCTCCACTAAGCTCTCCTCTTTTCATACAGAGAGGTGACTGCTTGTGTGTGTTTGTGTGTAGCTGCTTGAAGTGCCTACATTGTGCCACATTGTGTTTGTGTGGATTTGTGTCAGTGAGACAACTACCAGTGTTTCTACAGCACCCCCCCAACACATGACAGCCTTGTACCTTCTAACTTTAC